ATGGCTTCCTTACTGAGTTTTCTTCTGGGATTCTTAGATAAATGTTCGCCTATATCGACCACGTAAGCGAAGTTAAGGGTTATTTCCTGGGAGAATTGGTGTCCCATATACCCGGTTTGTTGTATACCTGCCACCCCGCCACACCTCCCAGCCCCCTCCCCTCCCCCTCCCAAGGTCGTGTACAAGCCACTGCAGGTCTTCGATTATGACAAACACACACACACACACACACACACACACACACACACACATGACAGACACACACACACACACACAGTTGAATACGTCGTACACAGAAGGGTCGTCGTGATGCGGGTGGTGTGTGTGTGTGTGTTTGTGTGTGTGTGTGTGTGTGTGTGTGTAATAATAATAATAATAATAATTAACGGTTTATTGAAAGAGCTTGGCAGCCAGAAGGCTGAAAATATACAGTTACATATTTGGGGAATGGGTTACGAATTACAAATAATATACAAGTGACATAAGTGACACAAATAAGACATATAGTAACTTAGATGGGGAAAAGCTTAAACTACAGTTCATTTCAACATAGTGACAGTGTAGGGAGCAGTGTTTACTGGGAGTGAATACACTGATTTATTACATGTTATTGATAATTTTTACAATGTGTGTGTGTGTGTGTGTGTGTGTGTGTGTGTGTGTGTGTGTGTGGACTTAACGTAACAAGATTTGACTACACACCCACCAGCCACCCACCAGCCACCAGCCACCCACCAGCCATCAGCCACCCACCAGCGGCGGAGGAGAACTTCGCCGCCTCCTCAAACTCCTGAGTCAACAAGGAATCTGCATCTCCTCTGTAGTTTGTTTACTGAGACGACGAGGCTACTGTGTGATGCTGCTACTGTTGCTGCTACTGCTCTCTCTCTCTCTCTCTCTCTCTCTCTCTCTCTCTCTCCATGGTCATTTATCTAATCTCCTTTAAATAATTTTCTCCCTTTCGAATTCAATCATATTTTTTAAAGAGAGAGAGAGAGAGAGAGAGAGAGAGAGAGAGAGAGAGAGAGAAAGAGAGAGAGAGAGAGAGTTAATACATATTCAGTTATCTTTAAATAAGTCTTCTCAAACATACTGGATATGTGATTTCTTCCCCTTTACCCCACACCACTTCCTTGATGCACCAGGTGTTTGATGATGAGGTGACGTGAGTGTTTGTTGATATAAAGATCAGTGCATTAATGTTGGGACACGTCTCCTGCCTCCTGCTGACTCTCAATCAAGGGGGTGACAAGGGAAGGTTGTACGCTTAGTGAGTGGCTGTATTGAAAACTTATACAACAACACTAATAATAACAACAACAACAACTACACTAATAATAACAACAACAACACTAATAATAATAATAATAATAATAATAATAATAATAATAATAATAATAATAAATCTCGTCATCTCAAAGCTCATTCAAGACGCTACACTGAGGCCCGTTGATTAGAATACTCCCCACCTGAGCTATAAAATATTACCTATATGAACTATATATTCATCAATCAGCTATACTAATCACCTTATTAATTGCATCTATAATTACTCCCGTTTACCTTCAAGATTAAAGGAGGAATATCAATTAGAAAACGATATAATGTGAGGGGAAACTAACCTAAGTCTTTTATGTTGTGGGGTTAGGTTAGGTTAGGTTAGGTTTACGTTTAGGTGAAATAAGCTGGGGTGGAGTTTCTTCAGGTGATCCTCAGTCAATAATACCTTCTTCTTTTAATATTAAAATCTATTACTACTAGCAACAACATCTACAGCAATACTACTATTACTACTACTACTACTACTACTTATACTACTACTACTACTAATAATAATAACAAAACAATTGTATGTTGTTTAAAGTCATAATTTAACTTCACTAGATAGTTTATATACATAGTTTATTGCCACAACTTTTAGCATTTTCCTCTGCACAGCCTTTTACAGCAGGGAACGTGTATATAGTGTTTTTGTAACCCGGTATTATTTTAGTTTATGTGTCGACTGTAATTAATGGCGGGTCACCTAACTCTCTCTCTCTCTATATATATATATTTGTTACTCGTTTTTTAGTTGGTTGTTTTACGGTTATAGAAAAAAAATTGTGTCAACCTCGGAATCCATGAATTTTTTAATCTCCGAACCATTGAATCCCCGAATCGCTAAACCCTCGAATCTCCGAACCATTGAATCCCCGAATCGCTAAACTCTCGAATCTCCGAACTTCCGAAACCCCGAATCTCTTAAACCCCCGAGAGCCTTGGACCTCCAAATTTATGAATCCTCGAACTTTTGACCCCCGAATCTCCGAACCTCCGACTCACCGAGGCTCCGAATCACCGAGGCTTCGAATCACCGAGGCTCCGAATCACCAAAGTAACCGAGTCACATAAGCCATGAAACCTTTTGGTACTTCATCATACTTATACTGTATAAGTAACTTTAGTTTACTTAAATAAAATAGACAGACAGACAGACAGATGCTAGATAGATAGATACAGACAGAAAGACTGATAGATAAGATAGATAGATAGAAAGACGTTTAGATAGATAGATAGAAAGACGTTTAGATAGATAGAAAAATAAATAGATAGATACCGTATTTATTCAATAAAATCTTTGTACAGGTTCACACTGACTCAAGACATACACAGACATACACAGACATACAGCGTCAGCAGTGATGGGACAACAAGACCATTTATTTATACCTTCTCTTTATACCAGTGAGGGACGCAGCAGTGAGGGACGCAGCAGTGAGGGACGCAGCAGTGAGGGACGCAGCAGTGAGGGACGCAGCAGTGAGTGAGGGACGCAGAGTGAGTGAGGGACGCAGAGTGAGTGAGTGACGCTGAGTGAGTGAGGGACAGTTTAAGGTTAGTTAGGTTAGGTTACGGTGATTAAATCTAAAGTAATATAATCTGAGAGGTTTAATCTTCAGGTGATCCAATTCTCTTAATGTCACATACGTTTATAAAATTCCTCTTTATTTATCAGAACTATATATGATCTGTCTATAAAATGTTAAGTCTTTTGTAACATTGACTAGTGAATGAGTTGAACCAGGGTCATATATGAAGCTGGAAGACTTTGATGTTGAGGTAAAAAAATATGTAAAAAAAAATGTGTAAATCAACATGACATTTCACAGTTAATAGAACCTTGATATATGTGTTATATATTATCTCCACGTCTTGTGTAAAGTCACCCAGAAATATCCTGTTGTCATCACGAACCCCGAGTCACGAACCCTGAAACACGAACTCATGGACCACGAACCTCGAACCACGAACCCTGAGCCACGAAGCCCGAGATTCAGACTTGTGAACCCGAAGCAGTAGATTGATACATTATTTTGTCCATAAATACTTCGGGATCATAAGTCTGAATCTCGGGGTTCAGGGTTCAGGTTCGTGGGTTCGGGGTTTAGGTTCGTGGGTTCGGGGTTCAGGTTCGTGGGTTCGGGAGGGTAGGCGACAGGGCTTTCGTGGTGTGACTAAAGTAAAGAACGAGTGGGATTTGATGTATCAGGTGTAAACGACAACGAACTTACTATGTCCCCCCAGCGTATAAAAGTTGTGTTTACTTGATATTAAAAACGTGATAACCTGTATATAATTAACAGGTGATATTTCTTTATCGTTTGTGACTCTAGTTCATCATCACAAAGCAACACCTCTTTTTTTTTATTTTTTTTTATGTGTTTTTATACGTCGACGTTGCCATGACGATACTACAGTGAGATTAATACATAACCGTTGTATTTGTCATCCACCAGAAGAAGGAAAAAGGAAGGAAGGAAGGAAGGATGGAAGGTGTTGGTGAAGGCTCCTGCTGACATGTGACAACCTCCCATCAACAACAACCACCACCACAGAGGGAGGGGTGGAGGTGGGGGACGAGTGGTGGGTGGAGGGGGGGGGTAGGGTGAGGTGAGCCGGAGGTGAGAGGGAGGGGTGGGGGTTGGTGGGAATTCTCTGCAGTTCAGGGAAATATTTCATATCCCACATCACGACCGACCGCTGGGAGGGGCTGCAGGAGGGAGGCAATATGTAATTCCTCTTCCCTCTTGGAATTTTGCCCGATTTTTTCTTATTTTATCCGATTCTGTCCGATTTTGTCTGATTTTGTGTTAGTTTAAGTGTCTGGTGATGACTCAGTAAAACTTATAAATTCTCCAAAGAACTAAACTCACTTGAACACTTACGGATAGACAGAAACTTATACGAAAAGACGGGGAACTACACTAGACAGGACTTTTTATTTATTGTAGCATGTCTGTGAGTTCTAACTACCCATTATACCGTATTTGTTTAACTACAGTATAACACGCACCTATTGTACTCATATACCACGCAAGATATGCTATATTGGCCTGAGTATAACACGCACCCTTTCGTCCTCTTCTAACACGCACCTCTAGTGGGACAAAGGTGAAGTGTGAGGTATGTTACTCATTACTCAGTGTCTCGGAGGTGAGGTGAGGTGAGGTGACAACAACAAACTTCACTAGTGTGTGTATGAAAGACAAAAAAGTTTACCTCAGTTGCACACACACACACGCACACACACACACACACGCACAGGGCAATTGACTTGAGCAATTAAAGTTTATTCACTTAATATATACGAGAGAGAGACGATTTTCAGAGTGTTGCCTACCATGACTTGGCTACCATGACTGTTGGTTACCATGACTGTTGGCTACCATGACTGTTGGCTACCATGACTGTTGGCTACCATGACTGTTGCCTACCATGACTTGGCTACCATGACTGTTGGCTACCATGACTGTTGGCTACCATGACTGTTGGCTACCATGACTGTTGCCTACCATGACTGTTGGCTACCATGACTGTTGGTTACCATTAATTTTATCCACCATGAATACTCCACACCATGGATACTCCACACCATGAATACTCCACACCATGAATACTCCGCACCATATGCACTCCACACCATGAACACTGGCAGTCTTATAATTCACCTTCAAGACATGAGAGGACTGGGGGCTGACTTGTACACAAACACACGGGGTTAAGTCAGTCTCATTGAGGTGGTGGTGGAGGCAAGAAGGAACCCGGAGATAGTACGGTAAGACATACATACATACATACACACACACTACTTACATACTACATACATACACACACACACACACACACACACACACACACACTAAAACACAAAACAAAACAGTTCTTCCCTACACCTTTTCACCATATTTTACAATCAACAGTAAAGTGGTTTGTGCTGGCAACTCCGTCCAGTGCCAGAAGAATTACTGATAGATAACTGGAGATACATAGGCAGTGGGTCTACAGATAAACCTCTTTTCTGCTATTGTGTTGAAAGTTATGTCATATCACAGATGTTCAGAGCTACACGTGTGCTAGATCTGAACGTGGAGTTTCTGTTTGTGTGTTTGAAGCTGTACGTGTGTTAGATCTGAACATGAGGTCCTTATTTATGTGTGTTCAGAGCTGTACGTGTGCTGGATCTTAACGTGAGGTCCTTATTTATGTGTGTTCAAAGCTGTACGTGTGCTGGATCTAAACGTGAGGTCCTTATTTATGTGTGTTCAAAGCTGTACGTGTGCTGGATCTAAACGTGAGGTCCTTATTTATGTGTGTTCAAAGCTGTACGTGTGGTGGATCTTAACGTGAGGTCCTTATTTATGTGTGTTCAGAGCTGTACGTGTGCTGGATCTTAACGTGAGGTCCTTATTTATGTGTGTTCAGAGCTGTACGTGTGATGGATCTAAACGTGAGGTCCTTATTTATGTGTGTTCAGAGCTGTACGTGTGCTGGATCTAAACGTGAGGTCCTTATTTATGTGTGTTCAGAGCTGTACGTGTGCTGGATCTTAACGTGAGGTCCTTATTTATGTGTGTTCAAACCTGTACGTGTGCTGGATCTTAACGTGAGGTCCTTATTTATGTGTGTTCAGAGCTACACATGAACTGTATCTGAACTTCCACCCCAAGGCAACACAACCACCACACACGAACACTTATTTGTCAATTCTTAAAACTGTCTTTCTAGGAACTTAAATGAGAGGATGTTTTGCGTGATGACAGCGATGATGATGATGACGGTGATGATGATGATGGTGACTCTTCCGGTGTTGGTGAGTCAGTCAGAGGCATCACCACTACAACCACGCCCTCTTGCTCGTGAGTTAAGTTTTGGTATGGTGTTTTCCTCATTGTCCTCCTTTGTGTTCCTCATCAAGTTATAACTCATTGTCCTCTTGTCTTCCTCATCAAGTTATAACTCTTAAGCATACAGGGTCATACTTCAATCATGTGTATACTTGAAAAATACATAATTGCAATAAGTACAGTACAGTCACCCTCAAAAATCTTGTCGCTTATTGTCCTGAATCACGAACCCTCGAGATTAAGACTCATGAACCCGGAGCATTCATGGCCAGAATAATGTTATCAGTCTACTGCTTCGGATTCACGGGTTCGGGGTTCGGGTCTGGGGTTCGGGTCTGGGGTTCGGGGTTCGGGTCTGGGGTTCGGGGTTCGAAGAGAAGCGACAGGAATGTTGTGGGTGAATGTACAGTAGACTCAAACGTGAACTTGATTAACAGTGGTTCGGCTCGCATGCTCAGTAATTAGGCTCCCACACCACTCTTAATTATCATATTAAGACTAATAAGACTTAATTTGAGCTTCATGTAACCATTACTGAGACTCGTAACGTGATTGGTGGTGGTGGGTCCAATGCCCTGTGATAATTGGCTTGTTAGAGTGGAAATAATTTGATTCGTAGAAAATAGATTTAGGGGTTTAATTATCGTCATAGAACACGGCCTCTGATTATATTTTGATGAATAGAAAACGGGATTTGGTTATATTTCATCCGTATAATATTTATTTTTTATGCATAATATACAAATATAACTTCAGCTAAATTGTTCTTCATGTAAAATCATAAAATAAATTAGATAAGTTTAATGTGTATGGTAGACTGTAAACAATAAAGATGTACAGGTGTGGTCAAAACTTTCTGGACACTTTTAATAATACCTGGCTTTTAAATTAACAAAAATAGTAATGCCAGATTGTGTCCCTTCCCCCTCCTCCTCTCCCCTTCCTCCTCCTTCCCCCTCCTCCCCTCTCCTTCCCCCTCCTCTCGCCAGGTAATTTTGTTCACAACTTAACACAGACATGATGTGAAGTTGACCTAATTTCTGTTCAGTTTCAGTCATCAAGCATGGTGACCAAATCAGCTTGAACCTTGACCCAGAGGCTGAGGTCAACGCTGTTCTGTTGATATTGGAGGAATCATCAGTACAGAAACAGAAGGATGACCTCAGGCTATTAAAAAAGGTCAACTCTACCTGTCCGAATCTTGACCTTCAGGTGTTTAAGGTCACTCAGAGGCCAAGAAAGGTCATGAGTGGTGCTGAAGAGACTGGTTTTGGAATCATTGCCGCTGAGGACATTGGATCTGGCGAAATTCCTGCTTGGGATATTGACTCTGTGGAAATACCTGCTGAGGACACTCGCACTTGGGAAATACCTTCTGAGGACATTGGCTCAGGGGAAATACCTTCTGAGGACACTGGCACTAGGGAAATACCTTCTGAGGACACTGGCTCTGGGGAAATACCTTCTGAGGACACTGGCTCTGGGGAAATACCTTCTGAGGACATTGACTCTGGGGAAATCATCACCAGCTGGAAAATTGAAGAAGAAATTCCTCCTGCTAACACCAATGCTGAAAGAGCTGCTCATATGAGGGTCTTTGGTGCCCTGGAAGTTAGTTCTGATGTGACTCTTCCTGAGGACCTCACCAAAGACCTCGTCAACAACAACGTCAGGAGAAGGTGAGTACTTGGGAGGGTTTGTGTGCTCTCTCTCTCTCTCTCTCTCTCTCTCTCTCAGCCTCCCTTTTCTTGTTTTCCTGTTTTCTGTCTGTCTGTCTGTCTGTCTACTTGTTTTTTTGTTCTGTGTTTATCTCTATTTCTCTCTCTGTTTCTGTCAGTCTGTGTATCTCTGTCTGTTTTTGTTTGCATCTATCTCTGTCTGTCTCTGTCTCAGTCTGTCTATCTGTTTCATCATCCTAGATAAACAGATCCGCAACAATTATTATACTCTAAGATTTAGTCCATCTCTTTCATCTCCTGTCTCATCCCCGTCAGATTCAGGAACTGTCTGGAGGTACAGGAGGCGGGGTACACACAGAGTGGCGTCTACACCGTGTACCCGTCTCATTCTTTAGGCTTTACCGTCTACTGTGATATGGACAATGACGGGGGAGGATGGACAGTCATACAGAGACGGGACCATAAATTCTGTCAGGTAAAATATACACTTTATAAAATAATGAAAAAATTGAATAAATCAAACCTAACCTTAACCTAACCTCTCCTGACCACCACCCCCACCACTACCTCATCTTTACCTCTATCACCTACAGGAGGAGAACTTCTACCGCCTCTGGGACGATTATGTCAAAGGCTTCGGCAACCTGAGTCAAGAATTCTGGCTAGGTCTTGAAAATATCCATGACCTTACCTCCCAAACTCCCACTGAACTCCGCGTCGACCTCGAGAATTTCAAGAACAAGACTGGTTGGGTTAAGTACGGTGTGTTCAAGGTCAAGAACAAGGACACGGACTACAGGCTATGGGTTAAGGACTACTCTGGAGTGGCAGGAGATGGCTTGGCCTATCACAATGGCGCCAGGTTCACCACGATGGATAAGGATCACGATACTTGGGGACAGAACTGTGCGATATCGTAAGTTGAGAGAGAGAGAGAGAGAGAGAGCAAAGGGAGAGAGAGAGAGAGAGAGAGAGAGAGAGAGAGCTAGAACAAAGATTTTTTTAACTGGTAATAACTTGAGGTATGTGAGTGTTCTTCTGTTCTTCTTTTGTTCTTCAATGGAGTCTGTTCAGGTGTTGTCTCAGCTTTGTTCAGTCAACTTAAAGTTCTTCATTGTAGTTCCTTCCTCATAACCCAGATTTACTCACCTCACTCCCCTCCCTCTCTCACTCCCTTCCTCACTCCCTCACTGACTCCCTCACTCCCCCTCCATCACTCCCCTCCCTCCATCACTACCCTTCCCTCTATCACTCCCTTCTTCACTCCCTCAATGACTCCCTCACTCCCCCTCCATCACTCGCCTCCCTCCATCACTCCCCTTCCCTCTATCACTCCCTCAATGACTCCCTCACTCCCCCAGGTTCAAGGGAGGCTGGTGGTACAGGAACTGCCACTACACCAACTTGAACGGCCTACGAGCGGGTCGTTACGGTGAGCAGAGTGGCCAGTACATTGTGTGGAGCATGTGGGAAGGAATTACCCCTATCAGGAGCACGGAGATGAAGGTTCGCCCCATCAGGAGGACGAAGTAGGTGAAGATCTGCCCCGTCAGGAAGAGGAAGTAGGTGAAGATCCGCCCCGTCAGGAGGAAGGAGGTGAAGATCCGCCCCTTCAGGAGGAAGATACAGTACAGCAGTGCCTCTAGTGGTGATGAAGAGAGTTGATGACTTACAGTGACTTGTATTTAAGGGTTGATGGACGTTTGGGCCATGGGACGTTTGGGCCATGGGACACGACCTCCAACTATATGTAGGTTAGGTTAGGTTAGGTTGGCCCAATTGAATATAAAGTCTGTTTTTTATGATAAATTTTGACATGTTATCATTACTGTATGTTGTTATATATATATATATATATATATATATATATATATATATATATATATATATATATATATATATATATATATATATATATATATATATATATGTATTACTCTCTCTCTCTCTCTCTCTCTCTCTCTCTCTCAAAAACATAAACTGTTACATTAAAAGTGAATCCTAACCCTCATTGATATATAAATTTCACATGAGATATAATTAACCTTTCACCTGTGGAACTAATTAACACATAGGTAACATCACTATCAATCCCAGTCCTTTATTAATACTATTTTGGATAACAGACAGATAAAGACAATTGTGTTATGGTTCCTACGGGGGATAATAATACGACCTTTGTGTCATAATAATCCAATATTTTTTAATAATCTAGAAAGACCAATTAACTTGAGTCTATATAACTCAAGGGAAGGTCAAGTGTTAAGTGTGTGTGTGTGTGTGTGTGTGTGTGTGTGTGTGTGTGTGTGTGTGTGTGTGTGTGTGTGTGTGTGTGTAACCCTGGATAGTGTCACTGTTTGTAACTCCTGGTATTTTCATGAAGCTAAAAAAAAAAACAAAAAACAAAAACAATTGGTGTTGATATTACCTAACACACACACACACACACACACACACACACACACACACACACACCATCCAATCCCATTACAAACTTTCAGGATAAAGGTCTCAATTGTATCTCAGCTCCTACAGTATTTTCTCTACCGGTGAAAGGGCAGTAACCTGGCCAAGAAAAAACTCCAATAACAGAATTCACTGAACTCTTCCTTCCTTCCTTCCTTCCTTCCTTCTCCCCCTTCAATGCTATGGCCCCTCCTTCTTCCCTCCCTCGTCAAAGCTGTTAGACCCTGTGCACTGTGATGGTGGTGGTGGTCGTGGTGTAGCGTTGTGGTGGTGGTGGAGCGTGGTGGTGGTGGTGGAGCGTTGTGGTGGTGGTGGTGGAGTAGCGTGGTGGTGGTGGTCATGGTGTAGCGTCGTGGTGGTGGTGAAGCGTTGTGAAGGTGACTGAGTATCGCTTCCGACTCGCTTTAGCTTCAGTCAGTATCCAGAACTGTTACAGACTACACCTCCTTGTCCTGCTCTCCCTCCTTCCTTCACTACATCCGCACCTAACTGGACAAACGTTGGCTGCTTCTAGTACACAGGTGGACAAACGTTACCTGGATCTTGTACACAGGTGGATAAACGTTACCTGGTTCTAGTACACAGGTGGATAAACGTTGGCTGCTTCGAGTACACAGGTGGACAAACGTTACCTGGTTCTAGTACACAGGTGGACAAACGTTGGCTGCTTCTAGTACACAGGTGGACAAACGTTACCTGGTTTGAGTACACAGGTGGGAAATATTAGCTAAGTTTATACCATTATTGTTCAAGCATTAGTGAAGGATCTCTGGAGACACTCCACTAAAAACAAGTGAAATACAACATAAAACCAAATACAATAAATTGCCTACAACAACAACAGCAAAAAATAATACAACAGTAGTACTTAACATAACAATTCACTCGTTAAAAAAAAAGTTTATCAGAAAATACAACCATAGTTAAGTGACTAACTATGAAGACCTAAGAGATGTGGTCAGGAAGCAATGATCAGGTTGAAGTACCATAACATCATCGCCGTCAGGAGAAAACATCTGAACTTCTACTACAAGATAACGGTACCAGCCTCAAGGACGTACTAATGCGACAGAAGACCACCTTGAGGAGCACCAGAGGAATAACGAGACTCGGGAGACTTGGAGTTTGTAGGAATTTTGTAGGGTAGACACCTAACACCCAGGGAGCAGCGAGGTTATTATTATCAGTAATGGTAACATGAAGTGTGAGAGATACAAGGTAGCATCATCAGTGTGTGTACATCACTCGAGTTAAGGCTACTTCGGGACATAGAAATATAGGTTAAAAACAAAAGTGGTCCCAAGATGTTACCCTGAGGTACTCCCGAAATAACGTTAAGTAACTGGAACAGCCGTTGTTTGGGTCTAGTACATGGCTGAGTAATGTGTCTCACCTAACAGCTGGACAAACGTTTCACCAGTACCCCTCCTCACCGTGAACTAAGCTCACTGTGTCGCGGCGTAACCTAGAACACCGTGGCCGGAGAGTACCAGAGGTAAACAAACCCAGTGACTAGGAAATTTTTTGACTTTGGAGAAATTATCGCCAGGAGAGCTAACACCAAGAGATATAACGTCACGATGATGTTCCACGTGTTTGTTATAGTATTCTTGTAAGTACACTTCAAGTTTATTAAGTTTTAAGGTGTGTTTTGCTTGTGTTTATCATATGTCCGCCAGTAGTGCCAGTCATCCCAAACTATCGTACGACATTGAAATCCAGATTGACAAAAACGAAGGAATGTTTTTTTTTTCCATGAATTATAAACTAACTTTTGCTATGTACTCGTACCCTTGGAGTAGATTAGTTTTTTATATTGCAGAATACACAACAAAAAATACTTAGGGATTTGAGTTAAAAATGATATTTTATTTAGATATGTATTTCGAGTGATTGAGCGAGTGTGTGATCGCTATTTTAGTTTATGTGTGTGTGTAAATATTCATTTATACCAACACGTACCTTTTTTTTTCTTTTTTTTACGGGAATTAGCCAACCCGGGCACAGGTCAAACGACCCACAACGGAGCCTGGGGGGCGAAAAAAAAGAACGGAAAGAAATTGAAAATATAGAAAAAAAGGTTATACTGTATTAATCTACACCACGAAGATGCCGGAAAACCAGCTTTTTAAAGTGAGACAGATTGTAAGAGCATGGAAACACAGAAGAAGGCAAAGCATTCCACAGTTTGGCTGTGTGAGGAAAGAAGGAGGTACTATAACGGGTTATTCTCGTGTGACCGATATCAACAGAGAAATGGTGGGCACCGCGGGCAAGACGTGTGTTACGAACCCACGGCCTTACCGGCGGTACACAGGATGCCAAATCCCCTGAACATTGCCCGTTAAAGTACCTGTAAAAGAGAGAGAGTGAAGCAACATTGCGGCGAAGAGAAAGGGGAGAGAGATTGTCGACTAAAGGAGGAGAGTTAATAAGACGAAATGCCTTTGATTCCACCCTATCTAATAGTTGGACAGAAGAAGAGCCACCCCAGATATGAGAGCAGTACTCCAAGTTAGGACGAATGAATCCCTTATATACTTGGAGCAACTGCTCAGGAGTGAAGTAGCTGCGGCATCTGTACAGCATTCCCAACTTTCGGGAGGCAGCTTTAGTTATACTAAGGATGTGTGATTTCCAGGACATATTGGAGGAAATGGTGAGGCCTAACATATTTATTTCAGAATTTGGGGGGATGATAGCGTCCTGAAATGTAATTGGTGGGAGATCGTCTACTTTACAAAGTGTAATTGGTAAATATTGAGTTTTGTTACTATTGAACTTAACCAAGTTTGTATCTCCCCATTCAGAGATGCTGCACAGATCCGCGTTGATAGAAGTAATGATATCAGTTCTAGAAACAGATCTAGTTTGAGAGTTAGGAGGAAGGGGAAAATGTGAGGAAGAGTGAAGAGTAAATATTCATTTATACCAACACGTACCTGAATCCAAAGGGAACTCACTCACATACCAAACTATATTAACACACGCACACCTTATATTTAACACTAAATTCTAAAGGGGAACAAATTATAATCTTAGCGGCAATGTAAAAAACTGTGTCGGACCTCCAAGCGTATCCATAAACAGAGGAACTAAGGAACTGTGCCGTGTAGACATGTTATCCTCCCAGGCAAGACTCGGATATAATTTCCAGTGAGGATTCAGGATAACGAGATATGGACATAGAGTTTGGTTATACTTCTAATACTTTTAGTTGTATTTTGGTGATGTTATGGACGGAATTATTATTATTTTTTTTAACTTAACTTAACCCAACCTAACCTAACCAGAGCTCCCAAATTCAGAGGATTATTCAAGTCAAATAATTCTTCTTGCCTTAACAGTTAGTTAAACAAGGGAGAGCGTGAGAGAGGTGGTCAGTAAGAGAGATAATATTAACTAAGAGAGATAATGTACAAGGAGACAGTGGAGATATCTTGACAGGAAAGTGAGTTAGATATTAAAATTCTGTCTGTCTCTGTCTCTCTCTCTCTGTCTATCTCTCTGTCTGTCTACCTCCCTCTCTCTCATACATCACATAAAACCGTAAATATACTCAAATATATCGGAAAAATATGTCATGCCAAAAAAAATATCACTACGTTATATTTTGATATCGTGTTGTCGATCTTTTTTCCCATTTTATCTTTTTAGAGAATATTTAATTGAGGGAAGGTTTAAGTGAGGAGATTTTAGGTTTTTAAGGAGGTTTAAGGTTTTTTTTAGGGAGTTTGGGTAGGTTTTAATTTTTTTTAGGGAGGTTTTTATTTTTTTTAGAAGCTTTTACGAAAATTTGGGGAAGGTTTTAGGGAAGTTTGGGAAATTTAAGAGAGTTTTTAGGGAACTTGTAGGGAAGTTTTAGGGTAATTTTAGGGGTGTTTTTGGGGAGTTACCTGAAGCCTTTGGTATACACTGAGTCCTGAAGTTACCTGACAGGTATATTGGCGTCTATTGAGCCTTACTGTTTATGTTGTTGATGTCAAGATTATTTACGGTTTACAGTATGAGATAGATAGATAGATAGATAGAGAGAGAGAGAGAGAGAGAGAGAGAGAGAGGTTGGATAGATAGATAGATAAAAACAGATGGATACATGGATATGTCTTAGTGTCTGTCTGTCTGTCTGTCTGCCTGTCTGTCTGTCTGCCTGTCTGTCTGTCTGTCTGCCTGTCTGTCTGCCTGTCTGCCTGTCTGTCTGCCTGTCTGTCTGTCTGCCTGTCTGTCTGTCTGTCTGTCTGTCTGTCTGTCTGTCTGCCTGTCTGTCTGTCTGTCTGTCTGCCTGTCTGTCCATGAATGCATTTCTAAGTGTCTGCCTAAATGTAGTTAGTGTGCGTGTTGCCGATGATAAATAATATTTATGTTGTTTATCAGCGTTGCTACACACCAGCGACTTTATGAGAGTTAACCTAACCTAACCTAACCTAACCTAACCTACCTTAACCCCAACCCAGCGGACATGGCACAGCGGACATGGCACAGCGGACATGGCACAGCTGACATGGCACAGCGGACATGGCACAGCGGACATGGCACAGCTGACATGGCACAGCTGACATGGCACAGCTGACATGGCACAGCTGACATAGCACAGCGGACATGGCACAGCGGACATGGCACAGCTGACATGGCACAGCTGACATGGCACAGCTGACATAGCACAGCGGACATGGCACAGCGGACATGGCACAGCTGACATGGCACAGCGGACATGGCACAGCTGACATGGCACAGTTGACATGGCACAGCGGACATGGCACAGCTGACATGGCACAGCGGACATGGCACATAGAGTTCTTGATATATAAATACAGATATAAAATGAACGCGATTTACTGTCCTGCTATATAAGTGTTTGGAATTATTAATACTTATTGAGTCGACCTCTATTTAGTGAAACCCCCATTTAACGAATACTACAGGGATAAAAGTCCGTTAAATCGAGGGTTCATTACATGTAAAACCTCCATATAAGGGATAAAAGTCCGTTATATCGAGGGTTCATTACATGTAAAACCTCCATATAAGGGATAAAAGTCCGTTATATCGAGGGTTCATTAGATGTAAAATCTCCATATAAGGGATAAAAGTCCGTTATATCGAGGGTTCATTAGATGTAAAACCTCCATTTAACGGACTATATAGAAGAGACGTGCGTTATATGGAGGTTTTCACCGTATCTCATATAATATTAAGGTTATGTTTTATTTACGGTTTACTCTATGTTAGTCGTAAACACTGAGACGGACTGGCACTGAGACGGACTGACACTGAGACGGACTGACACTGAGACGGACTGACACTGAGAGGGACTGACACTGAGATGGACTGACACTGAGACGGACTGGCACTGAGACGGACTGACACTGAGAGGGACTGACACTGAGACGGACTGACACTGAGACGGACTAACACTGAGACGGACTGACACTGGACTGACACTGAGACGGACTGACACTGAGACGGACTGACACTGAGACGGACTGACACTGAGAGGGACTGACACTGAGATGGACTGACACTGAGACGGACTGGCACTGAGACGGACTGACACTGAGAGGGACTGACACTGAGACGGACTGACACTGAGACGGACTAACACTGAGACGGACTGACACTGAAACGGACAGGGACAATGGCGAGACGGGTAACACTAAACTGAGCCATGAGGTGTAAATGTCTGTCTGTCTGTCTCACTTAGTAGTTCACTCACACGCACGCTTACTTACTTACTTACACGCTCTGTCTGTCTGTCTGTGTCTGTTTGTTTGTTTCTGTCTGTTTCTGTCTGTCTGTCTGTCTGTCTCACTTAGCCTCTCTCTCTCTCTCTCTCTCTCTCTCTCTCTCTTTCAATCCATCTATATCTACCCATCTATCCATTCATCTATTCATCTATCTCCTCATTCCCTCGCCTTATATCCCCTTATCCATCTCTCTCATCCTCCTCCTATCCGTGACATCATGTTCGTCTGTTCGTCTGTCTGTCAATTTTATCTGTCATGCATGTCAATCTTTTGCATGACAGTGTGTGTGTGTGTGTGTGTGTGTGTGACTTATGAACAGTGAGAGTTGCATGATTGATCTAAATAGCATGTTACAGGATAGACTAAATAGCATGTTACAGGATAGACTGAATTAATCTTTAGTTATGTTACAGACGAATCAATCCCAAAACTACAGATGAACTACAGAATGCAGAATACCCAAAGCTGTTTTTTGTAACGCGTTCTACTTCTTGTAACAAATAAATCTATATGTAGTGCTCGTATGTGGTATGCGGTATGTGGCACTGTATGTTATTGTGTGGATATAAGAATGTTTGTGTGGGTATATATTCATTTTTATATCGTTTAGTATATATGAGGTATAATTTCCGTTTTTATTATGACATTAGATTTCTTGGTGCGTGAGTAGGGGGGGCCAGTGGGTCTTCGTGTCAGGCGTCTGTACTGGATGTTTGTATATTAATGTATGTAACTCATGAATGGATACAGCTACGATATTTAAATTTGGTATGTGTATTAACCATGACTCAAACTATAACTGGTATAAATTTGGAGTTGAAATATACATAATTAAAGACACAGGAATGGAAAGAATTATGATATATTTTTTTTTTTGGTGTGTGTGTGTGTGCTAAGGGGTAGAATACTAAAGGGTGAAGGGATGGCAAGGTATAGATTATCTGAAGAGGAATGTGTTTCTCGTATAAGAATCTTGTGTTGGTGAGGGGAAGTATTGTTGGGTAAGTATGGTGAAAAGTTTCTCATGGTAAAGTTGTAAGAAGTGTTAAGTATATAGTGTAAGTGTAAAGTGTATCTCTCAAACACACATATAGAAACACACACACACACACACACACGCACATATACCAATCTTAATAAAGAAAAATACCTCTTGACTTCCCCTTACCTTGATAGTGTAACCCCCTCCCCCCTAACCCCTGAGTCCCAACACCCCCCTGACCCCTGACCCTTTGAACCCTGACCCCCCTCCCTCACCTGAGCCTTGACCCCCCCCCCTCTCCACTTAGTCCCTCTTCAGTACCTCCTTCTAATCAATGATCACAACTCTCGACAACACGAACCCAGCTTAAACACACTCTCTCTCTCTCTCTCTCTCTCTCTCTCTCTCTCCTACTCTTTACTACAGCTGTGTCTTACTCCCAACAGGACTGGAGGAGTGTGGGCAGACTCCAGCTTACTCCCAGACAACTATCAGAAACATATTCGTCCTGAACCAGATGGAGAAGGTGAGGGTATCAGGTCCTGTGTGTGTGCGTGTGTGTGTGTGTGTGTGTGTGTGTAGCCAACGTGTTCAGGTTAGATTAGGTTAGGTTAGGTTAGGTTAGGTTAGGTTAGGTTATGTGTGATGTGTTGTTATTTTTATGTCTATTACGCTGTAGATTATTTAATGTTTAATTGTGTTATTATTCTCTCTCTCATTCTATCTATATATCTATCTATCCGTCAGTCTGTCTGTCTGTCTGTCTATCTATCTATCTATCTATGTTCTAGGAGGTGGACCGCTGAGGGTAGGGGTCGGGTGGCACGTGGGTAGAATTCATGAAGTCAACATCAACGATATGGTGAGTAATGAGGGGTGAGAGGTGAGGGGTGAAGATGAGGTGAGAGAGGTGAGGGGGTGATGGTGAGGTGAGGTGAGTGGTGAGGGGTTGGGTGAGATGAGGTGGTGAGGTGGTGGTGAGGTGAGGTGAGTGGTGAGGTGAGTGGTGGTGAGATGAGGTGAGAGAGGTGAGTGGTGAGGGGTGAGAGATGAGGGGTGAGGGGAGAGAGGTGAGTGGTGAGGGGTGAGAGATGAGGGGTGAGGGGAGAGAGGTGAGTGGTGAGGGGTGAGAGATGAGGGGTGAGGGGAGAGAGGTGAGTGGTGAGGGGTGAGGGGTGAGTGGTGAGGGGTGAGAGGCGAGGGGTGAGGGCTGGGTGGTGAATGGTGAATGAGGGCTAAATAACGAAAGCTAAACATCAACAAGTAAATAATAACAATAACATTAAAAACAAATACATTTTTACTTTAACATTATTTCACCGCCCCCAATGAATACCTCTCCATCAAGTACCTACCTGAAGGAATCCACACTACCTTCCTTCTGTAGACGGTGACGATGACTGTGCGGGTAGGAATAGCCTGGATGGAGTCTCGGATGATTTACAACGGTGAGAGCCATACGGGTGACCACGAGAAGCTGTTGCCCCTTGATCTTGGGTTCCTGCCTAAGATCTGGAAACCTGATCTCTTCTACCTGGACACTGTCGATATTAAGAGGTTCTCCATGGTCGAGGATGTTGCTGGTGTCTGGCTCATGAAGAATAATACCATCTATTTTTCTTTCCTGTATGTGATTAACCTCTCTTATTTTGTGTTACTCTTGCCTAACATAATCTAATCTAACTTAATCAAAAGCTAATATAACTTCATCTAACCTAACCTAACCCTCCAGGTAACATTTATAAGGGTTTAATTAATCATCAGGTGAAATAAGCATAAGGGGTCTACTCTTCAGGTGATATGGTTTACCTGTCCCCCTCAAAAATATTAATGAATACCTGTGTTTACCTTCTACACAGGGTCAAGATTACCCAGGACTGCCCTATGCATTTTGGGTCTTATCCCTTCGATGTCCAGCACTGCACAATGACCCTTACCTCCTGTAAGTATGTCTTGTATCTGAGAGAGAGAGGGAGGAAGGAGAGAGAGGGGGGATGGAGGAAACAGAGAGAGAGAGAGAGAGAGGTAGGTAGGTAGGAAAGATTTAGGGAGGAAAGAGAGAGAAAGAGACACCCATGACTCAGGTATAACACGGTCACCTCTCCAGACGAGTACAACGCCGAAGAGCTCCTCCTGTACTGGCTGCCAGAGGGCGTCACCACCTCCCACCGCGTCCACTCTCACCTCCCGGGCTACACGCTGGACGTCCTACCTACTAACCTCACCAAACACCACTGGTGCCGCAACTGTTTACTAGGTGAGTCACGAGAAGTGTCCTTGTTGGGTGTGACAGGTAGCAAAACAGGTGAGAAAGAGAGATAGTTAAAGAGAGAGAGAGAGATAGTTAAAGAGAAAAAGACAAAGGGAGATGCAGTTAAAGGGAAATAGACACGTTAAAGGAAAACAGGAAATAAGAGAATAAGGAACCACATGTCAACATCAACCAACACCTCCCCTTCAGAACCCTCATCCGCCGCTACGTCTGTCTTGCGTCTGAAGCGCCATTTCTCCGCCTACCTGCTAGCGGTGTACGTGCCTTCCTCACTGCTCGTGGCTGTGGCTTGGGTATCATTCTTCTGGCCGCCCGAGCCCTTACCTGGTCGGACTGCACTAGTGATCACCGCCCTCCTTACCCTCGTCTCCACCTTCGTCGCCGCCAGGTATATAAAACAGGACGAGATGGTGGGTTGGTGTGCTAAATTCCTTTCCTGAAACTCTTTGTCTCTTATTTTTTGTAGTAGAACGACTCTCAGTAGCACAGGAGTCTTATATTCTTTAAGGCATCAGTTACAGGTGGGTTTCGTTTACAGACAGTCAAGCCCCGAGACGGATTACGTGAAGGCCATTGACGTGTGGTTCTTCGTGTGTTTGTGCCTCAATGTCTTCTGCCTCTTTCAGTTCGCAGTCATCATTACGTGAGTCACCCCTACAATCTTCTGTTTACATGTACGCACCGTCAAAAATAGTATCATCACGGAGGGGGTGATCGATAAATTACCAAATGAACACTGTGACTCCTGTTGTCTCGGTAGGGTTGTCAAAATCCTTCGTCCGTTGTGTCATAATTACCTGATAAAATAATGGTAAAGATATTTTTTTTGAGGGTATGTATGCAGTGTTGGGTGTATCCGTTCTCTATACTCGTTGATACAAGAATTTAAAGCTTGATTTGTTGATTAATAACTTAGATTGATTGATTGATTAGACTATATCTATTATCAGTTATTACTTACTGATTACATATTATAAAATACCTTTCTCATAATCTTAGGTGAGTCGATATTACTGCACCTCATATGCCTTGTACTGTAACACACTCATTCACGTACTTCATAACACACTCTTACACACTCTCACTCACACACACTTCATAGAAACACCTTCTTGCTTAAACACTTAGTTATACACTCTTTCTTACTCGCTCCATAATATATTCTCTTACACACACGCGAGCGATCTGTCCATTAACCTGTTCAGTACTTTATGTTTACCGAGAAAAAGATGCCACAATTTAGTTCAGTTTCACGTGAATCTTGTTGGTCTCTCATGATAAGTGGACACACACACACACACACACACACACACACACACACACACACACACACACACCGTAAACACAATGTGAGAGTTTCGTAGAACGTTTTCTAACATTCACACATCGATTTTCTTGGAGACACTTTCTAAAATTTATGACTTGACAAAACTAAACACACGTAAATAACTGGAGTCTGAAGAATGTTATCAGAGGCGAGTGTGTCAGAATGCATGTGTGAATGTTAAGGGCCGTTCATTAAAGCTTATGTTAATTGAAGCTTACGCTAAACGAAACATGTTCAAAGAAAATTACGTTTAAGAATTGATGTGTGTGTGTGTGTGTGTGTGTGTGTGTGTATCAGAGGCTCACACTTATGGCAATTATCATATGAATATTTTAAAACTAAATATTCCTGTAATTCCTAACTCTAGAATCACTCTGCCTAGACAACAACGAGGAGGAATACCATACAAAAAAGACAGAAAGAGACAGATAATTTGACAGAAGTAAACAAAGACAGTCAGACAGACACAGGTACAGACAACTAACATACTGTCACTCTTGTCCACAGGCTGAGGCGACGACAGAAGGCCGTAACGCCTGAGGTGAGTCCCCTCTCTCTCTCTCTCTCTCTCTCGTGTGTGTAGAAGACTTTTATTTAGTGTTTATGAGTCAATAATCAGTGTCGTTCCACCTTGAACTTGTACACAAAATCCCCCAACACACCTGAATTAATATATATGAAATTATTTATATATTTTTCCAAGTAGATGTGGAAATTAATTGAGCAATCTTTAATTTTTTCATTTTTGTTTTCGTCTAGGGGAAGTTAAGGACACGAGTTATATATTAAGTTTATTTTCTTTGGCTACTGACAGACGGGTAAGTCGAAATCGATGATTGGTGGAACTGCTGCGTTGGTGGCGTCTAGGAGTGCTCAGAATGATGCTCACCTGTCCAGAGCACAAAGGTGGGAGGCCATCACTGAGCTCGCCTCTAAAATCCTCCTACCTATTATCTTCCTCCTGTTCAATATCATCTACTGGCCTTACTTCCTCGTCAGTACCGATCACAACCACATCGAGGAAGACATTTATGAGTGAGGGTGTCCTTCTGAACGAGGTCATTTATCTGTAGTAACTCATTCATGTACAGTAACTCAAGCTATTATAATAAAGGTACCCCATATATAAATGATATTCCCATTTCCTGGATTTCATATAACCAGCACAGTTTTTTTTTTAATTGCACCAAATGACTTAGAGAAATGTTAAAAACTAGAAAAATAGTTTTGAACTTTTCATATGTTTATTTACATGTTGGGTGTGTGTGTGTGCGTAAATAATAACAACTCGATTATATATGGAATTACTTAACTGACATCTTTATGTGTAAATCAAGATAGGGGAGAACGGTATACAGGAATATCCGTTTCGTAAGAATAGAGTTGTGAAATATTAAACCATCAAAAGGTGGTGGTCGGGAAATACTACATATTCTTAAATTATTTCAGTTAGTCTTTCCATCTTGTTGGTTTTTCTTCTTTAACACAGAAAATGGTAGCCCTTCTGTTTCAGTGTCAACAATCCTTCCCTATTCATCTATTAATCAAATACTACAGAGCAGTCAACCGTTGACTTTTAGCGCCAATAGAAGACTGGATATACGCTAATGTAATAATGTGCCGTATATCACAGACTTTGGCACAGTCCCATACCAGGAGTGACTGGGCGCGATAATTTTTTGGTTGACTGTACAGTAGGCCTTTTTAATTACAAGATGTTCATATTCTCTGTAAATTGTTCTTACATTTTCTGCCTGAACTGATAAAAAATATATAACAAGTAAATGTAATTGTTAGTAAAAGTAGCATAGCTATTCAATTTAATGCAATCAATTACTGTGCAGCATGTAGCACATTTAAGAAAAATAAAGTGTTTTGTAGGTTGTAAGACAATTTGTAAACTTAAATAAAATAATTATAAACAACATAATAAAAGTTTTTCTTCAATTAATCCTTCCATGAATAAAATACCCATGATAATATAGTATGTAGGCAGTGGCGGCTCGTGAAAAATAAAATGGAGGGACTGCAAGCCTCACACAACAGTAGGATACACAAATTTGACCTACCTCAGGTATGAGTTGTAGTTGATGTCCACGAATTCCCAGGGCATGGTAGTAGTGTTGGTGGTGATGGACCAGTATTACTTGAAAATAAAGTCCGCGTGTCTGCTCTTCGATGTAGCAAAATTGTTTATTAATATTTCATTAAAATCCTTTATTTCTGTTATCATTTTATTTTCAATGGATATCACTGCTAAAGCAGACAGTCTGTCATTCACTGATGTTAAACTGGCGTGTATATTCTTTGTTCCTGCTTGTACTGTTCTGTTCAATGGATAAAACTGGTGTAGGTCTTCCTCTTGCTTTGATTTCAGTCTTTTCATTTAATGTCAGCTGGGAAAAGTTGATGTTTTGCAAATACTTCACTCGATTTTCCATGGTCAAAGGGTAATTAAAGAAAGCACGAGTTAACCACACCGTCCACACGCAATGTAAACACGTACGAGACTGAGCGGCGCCAATTAATAACAAACATCAATCGTACAGCATTGACAGTAACTATGAAAGTAACTTAAATTTTGGTCTGATTTTAATGAAAATTCACTTAGCAACGTATTGAAAATAATTAAATAACATATAAAATGATATATTTGTTGGTAGTGTATTATTGAGCTGTCTCTCTAAAGGAATCATACGCCTGGCAGTGAGTGTCTGGGGGGGGGACTGCACGAGCCGCCACTGTGTGTAGGTGTGTGTACAAATCCAATCCAAAAACAGAGATATGTTGTGATTGAAGACTTTGAGACCCGTAGAAATGTGCCTTTGAACATAATCATAACAAAGACATATTGTACTTATTTCCTGTGGCTGTTTTTGATCACAAACAGGTTGACCTTAACAGACGTACAGGAATTGTAAGGGGGGATGAACATATAGGAAATCCCACAACATAATTATAGGGGGAGGCATCCTCCAGGGTCTATGCTCTTGTGTACAATAATAATTAAAATACAATAAATAAATCTAAAGGAAAAATATTGAGTCATATGAGTCCCAGGTTGGTGATCTGACTTTCTGCCTCATTTACACACAATTGCAGGGTCTCAATTGTTTCTCCTGTTTTCCATTTCTGTATTTTTTTTCCTCGCTCCACGGGCCCTGATGTGGGTTGCTAAATATTAATTATCTATCATAGTATTTCCGTAAAAGATAAAGAAAACCGTCTTCCTTTTTGGCTACGGCTGGCCACTAGATGACGGGCCAAACTAAGGTCTCAGAGCAAATTAAGTGAGACACATTTCCTGAACACCCTCCAATATATGTTCCCTGTAATAAAATATAATAAGACACAATTAATTAATTTTATCCTGTAATTTCAATGGCAATCTCACCATAGTTATTAATAATAGGAAATAAATAAACACAAGGAGATAATACTAGCATCTATATAGAGTTAGATACTATGTTGGGTGAGTTAATAATAGGAAATAAATAAACACAAGGAGATAATACTAGCATCTATATAGAGTTAGATACTATGTTGGGTGATGGTGTGATGGTCTTTTGTTAATGGGGTCGAATCCTTGTTTACCTTATGGAGGAACAACACACCGCGTGGAGGATACCGACACGCGTAGTGGACCAACAATGACAGTAAATTAACTTGTTTTTTAAGATTATTTTGGGAATTAATCATCTTATTCGTCTACTGTACGAGGATAGTGATATAACGGAGATAGTTGTTAATTAAGGTACGTAGTTTATATATGGATGATAGATGTATATGGAGTCTTGAGTCATGTAGTGGAAATACCTGATGTCTTTATAATTTTTAACTAATAATATGAGTAGAAATGATTTACTAAACCCTAATAACTGTTTTATGTGTAAGAATTAGATAGTTGGGTAATTGTCAGGAATGGATGTTAATTAGAAGCACCCGGTTGATAGTTAATGACTCTGTATATACCACATGATACCACATATTGTAGCCTGTAGAATATGTTGCCTCATGGTGTTTTTTATGTTATATTAACTTTGTATGTTTGATTAAGAGCTAACTAGGTCTTGTAGGAGGAACAATACAAAGCTTAGTGGTTCACCCATGGGTTGGTGTTCACTAGATTGGCTTCAATGTTTGACTCCATTTAAGGATTGATTTACTTTCTATGTCATAAGTAAATTGAAAGTAATTGGGGGAATCGGTTAGTTTATTTTAGGTTAGATTAGGTTGGTTAAATACAGGGATGACCAAAACTAAGATTTTTACCGATTTTTGGTGTATTATAAAATTAGGGAGTTTTTATATGTATTTTGGGTTAAAATGAATACAGCCTAACTTGTTTATACATAATGTGCATAAAATCACAGGCACCTTATTTTTTTTTACTGATGGCAAAACTGGGAACTTTCTGAAGTATTAGATATTGCTTCATGTCTCTGTTTATGTGAAGCTCAAGTTTAGAGTGGTGGGTTAGGTAAGATATGTTAGTGTGGGTCAGTCTATGAACTTAGTGGATATTTTACCATGACCGGTTAAGTTCCTACTAATGCTATTTTACCGTGGGTGCTCTGATTGGTTAAGTACTTTCTGTTTAATATGACCAGGGGTGGCCTCCAGCTAGGAAGTTAGGTAAGGTTAGGTAGGTTAGGTTAGGTAAGGTTAGGTAAGGTTAGGTTAGGTTTCTTTGGTTGTAAGTTAGGTCAGATTTTATTAGGTTCTATAGTTTGTTCTTCTCAGCTCAGAAGAGATGCCCCGCCCCCTCCTCAAGAGAAAGATATTTAGCTAAATTATAAAGAATATTTACATTCAGTATTTCAAACATGAGCACGAAGGAAGTTTAATGGAAGTATTATACATGAATTAACTGTTAAACTCTGGTAGCAAATTCGCTCTTTCGGAGGACGTATTTAATATATACTTATTTGTACCCACAATAAGGCATATTAAGACAATTTACATGTCAGTAATATTACATTGTGCAAAAACTTACATTTTAAAAGATCAGAATCGCATTGAAATATTACACGCCCGTTAGCAGAAGCGGGAAAAATATGAAGTCGTTTGCAGTCATATTTCCCGCCTCTGCTAACAGTCGTGTAATATTTCAGTGTAAATGTCGCTGCTTTATAATGATAAGAACATCTGCAGAAAAAATGACCAAAATCAACAACTCCTTCTGGTTAGGTTATGTTTATAGCTACACAATGATTGACACGGCGAAATAAATGCCAAATGCCGCCAGAGTCACGGTCGCATATCGTTCTCGTCTTGTTCGCCGGTGATGGATAATTAGCCAATTAGAGCACACTCACGGTAAAATACCGTTAGTAGGAACTTAGCCGGTCATGGCAAAATATCCACTGCCTATTATGAATGACATATGTAATATATACTTATTGTACCTGGGAAAGTTCTCAGTCTTGCCGAATGTCAACACAAGAGCTCGTGATTTTACAACCATTAAATTAAAGATTACCGATTTTTTTTTGTTAATTTTCTTTTATCAATTCCACGTAATTTAAGGTAAGATAATCAAGGTTAGGTTAGAGCTTTTTTCAGTTTTGAATTATTTATTAAAGAAATGAAGCTTGGAAATTCTTAAAGCACATAGTTACATTAGAAAGATATAAAATTAACTATAAAAAACAAAACAGGCTTTGATCATATACATTTACTGTTGTTGTTGTAAGATGAAGAACAACTGTGGGTAAAACTTAAGGACAAGGGTTAGGGTAATCCAGCCACCTAACAAAAAATATCCATAGAAGACGACTTTTTAATTTCCTCAAGATTAAGGCAAATCAGGTGAAGGAATAGCACATTTTGTGATAAGGTTTTGTCCCTAGTTTTTCCCATAGCTTAAGATGTCTGCCTTCACCCCTAATAAAACATAACGTACTTAACTTGCATTCTAGGATAGGTTGGTTAGGTAGGGCTTGTTGGTTTGTCTTAACTAAAACAAATAATAATTCTGTGTAATGTAATAATAAGATGTAGTGGCTGCGGTTAATCGTACAAACAAATCTCTCGATGACTGAGAAATTGCTCATGTTATGTTATCCTTTGCTAATGAGAGGTAACTTGGCGAAGTTTGGTTGTGACTGCTGTGTCTGTACAGTTAGCCTGGTTATCACAAGCAATATTATTTTACAGGAAATGTTATCAACAAAGCTCCTGAGCTTCTCACCAAGTGGGGAGAAGTTAGCACACAGTGGTCCAGATGGAATCTTGAGAATCTGGAACACAACTTCTGGACTCCTGGAGCATCAGTTCCAGCCTGCAGAGCACCTCACAGCCACCACATCATGTATCAGATATTGTTCCACGGTACTGTCAAGAAGTTATTGATTTTCGTTGCTATAATAATCTGAATATATAACTGTCGGCAATTGTGATAATTGAAGCTTATCATTATATTGTGCAGTATGGTAATGTCCCTTCATCATAAATTTGCAATAGGGTGGGGTAGGGGCATCTGTTGGAATCATACAATTATTTGTTTTATCCACACAGAGAAAAAGATTACAGGAAACGGCCAAGAAAAAACCTACAAACGAAGGTAATTGTCTCATAGCCATGGGAACACTAGCCGGCACCATTCACATCTATTGCCCCGAGAGGAGAGCAGTCATTGCCACCCTGGAACATTCTCCATCTCAAGCGATCTTAGACGTTTATTGGAGCACAAAAAAAAACAAGACGTCTGTATTGTTCTCCTTATCAACAAACAATACCATTATGGAGTGGCATGTAAATACAAAAACTTCCCTCCGGTGAGTCGGCTTTAGCATGTGGGGCATTGGCTTTCAGTCTCCGGGGACTCATATTCATTTAGAAACACGATGTAACACTGAATTAGGATGAAGTTGTCGCTGTAAAGTTTTTCATGTATTCAGGACAATAAGATGAAAAAAATGGGATGAGAGGAGTGTGACTTGAAATACAATACTATACTATACTAATACAGGTACCATGATATTATTATTATATTATTAATGTGTGGTGTCTCTGTTTTCCAGGCCTATGGAAGTGAGTGGTGGCAGCACTTTCCTGGTGTTTTCTCAGAAAAAAATATGTCTAGCAAATCGTAGTATTGAGTATCTATCTAAACGGGTAAATGGTGACGATTTGAAGGTGATAAGAACGTTCACAGGTCACACCTCATCAGTGACACAACTTGTACCCCTTGTTTCTAATGATGGACATGTGAAATACTTCTTGTCTTCGGCTCAAGATGACACATTTGTGTATGCTTGGTAAGTTCTTGTAGTCTTTCAGTACAATGGAGGACTGTATGTTATATATGCCACAAGAACCTTATGAAAATTAGGCACCCCAGTTAAAATAAACTTAGGATTAGGCACCCCAGCTTATTTCACCTGAGGATTAGTCATCTTAGCTAACTTGACCAAAGGATTGGGCACCCCAGTTTATTTCACTTGAAGCATAGACACACCAGTCTATTTAATCTAAGGATTAGACACTCCAGCTTATTTCACCTTAAGATCAACCATCCTAACCTAACTCCCACAGGTAGCATTAGGGTGAGTAATCTTCAGGTGAAAAATCTGTAGTGCCTAACCTGCAGCTAATTCCACTACAAAGCTGCTTGCATGCATAAGGTTTATTGTGACCACCACTATCTACTGTGATTCTAGGATTTACTTAAGTCAATCAAAGGAGCAGCATAGAGACAGCGATAATTAGATTACCTTATCCAATATGTTAAGGGTGTCATCCGATCATCAAATGTTATCCAGATTTATGCAAGAACTCATTGAGAACAGAACATGTAATATAGAGAAGAAGAGTTTAAGTATTGGATGTTAGGATACAGTATTTGATTTTGCTTACCTTCTTAAATGGTTCGTGTTTGATCCTGGATACTGTCAGGATAAAGTACTGTAATGCTGTTTGCTTTTGTACAGCCATTGGAAGAATCTGGTTTTTCATTGATGGCTGCTGCTGCTTTTTGTTTTCCAGGATCACATTAATTGGCTTTGTATAACTGTATTAACAGCTTTATATTCACTGAAAGAAAAATGTTATATCCTATAATCTTTCTAGGGATACGCAGTGCGAGACTGGGGACCCCGCTGTCAGTTTTATGGTGAAAGATGTCGTTCAGTCGATGGCTGTGGCCGAGTTGAAAGACAGCACTGTGACGCTTGCTGTCACAGTACGAACTGGCACTCTCATCCTCTTCACACAACACCTAAATGGGTAGGTATCACCCTTGAGGTTTTAAATACATAGTACAAGAATTTACATGCACAGTTCTTAAAGGTTGATTTATTTTAACCCCCATCATTATGGGTATGCCACTTTTAATACTGTATATTATTTAGCTAACATCAGATGATATTTATCAGCTCAGAGGTGACCCCGTACACGAGGGGTTAAGGTAAACACTTGGAAATAGTTTCCAAAAGTTAAGGTTGCACTGCATTTATTCATATAATAATATAGTTTCCAAAAGTTAAGGTTGCACTGCATTTATTCATATAATAATACAAAGTTGAACAGGATAGAGAAGATCTGTTTAATGGAAGGATCTTGTGTGTTTGTGGGTGGAGAAAAGGTCAGGTGTAATGATCTTGAACATTTGGTCATACTGAAAACTGACGGCAAATATGTGGGAAAGAGTGATGCATTCTGTCGTCTTATGTGATTTGGGTTTTTAGGGTTGAATTTCATGTTTATTGTGAACCTTTATATGGATAAGATCTTTTGGTGAAATATGTTAGCAATGCTTAGTTTAGGTAGGTATTATCAGTGTTTACAGTTGTGGTGTGTTGGTAATATCTTTAACCTCATGATAAGTACTTCTTCAGGAACAGACACAGCGCGGCAGTCAAACACACAGGAAAGCTACGAATAGTCACGGATTCCACTAGCAAACAGACTATTCCAATCGTCTTCTCCTTCTTCTGTAATGATAGTGCCTCTAGTATCATTGTTGTGTATGGATATTCACCCGTCTTCAAATTTGAAAGAATAGTAAGTGAAGAGTACGTTTTTTATTATCATAACTTGGAAATACAGGACGGTACAAATTTACAGGTACATGTACTCAGACATCAGACTGACAGTGAATTATAAGAATTGTCTCACTGAATACATATTGGTATATGTATCTACAGTGCTGTATATATTTTTTATTTTATTTTTTAGTCTTTCTACATGAGTATACTGTGTATTTTCAAGTTTGGTGAAGAGTTGGTTCTTTTATAGACATACTGTATTATAGCTTCTTAGTGTGATGTAACATGCTGATAATACTCATTTGGTCATTATTATAAGTATGCCATCCTGTTTTAATGTTCCATAGTGGTATTCAGTCCTGGAGAGTAATTATTTATCCTTGGCATGTATCAGTTCAGTGGTTTGCTTAATCATCCTTATTTTATTAACAGGCTATAGCAGACATAGCAAAACACACACAGTTGGTTCGATCAAACCCTTCTGCAGCTGTCCTGAACCAGAAAACTGCTCTGGTCAAGACTCTAACACCCAAAGTTACCAGAGACGCCACAATAAAAGGTCTGGGCTGCTGCAATGAGTCCACCGTAAGTTACAGTGAAACCTCCATAAAGCAGACTCTTCTCTCTGAACAGTTAAACCTTGGTATATATTCTGTTGGGTTGTCTTCCCATTAAGCAGCTAGTATTATAGGAGCTACCTGACTGAGAGTTTTTTTGAAGTACTGGAAAACAAAATTTTTGGAGAGATGTCAAATGCTGCTCATTGGGATCTTTTGATATTTTCAGGAATTAAGACCATCTTATTATTTTGTTAATAATGTTATGACTAAAAGAACTACAGATCCATTGGCTCTCTGTCTTGTTGTGGAAGGGAACTTTTTTTTTTCTGGAATATTTTAGGATGGAGGTCATTGCCACTCAGTAAATGCCGCTTGATTCATTATTAGACATTATAGCCTATGTGTACTGTTTAATGATAGATTTTGTATTGTATAATGATTGATTGTGTAATGTATAATGATAGATTACATACTGTGTAATGATAAATATTAAATTGTAATTTTGATCTTTCAGGACAGTAAATTGAAGAGAAAATTCAACGATGAAGATGGTGTAGCATCTCTGCCAATGGAAGAAAGGCTTAATGCTCTGGCACTAGATAAGACGACGACACAGTATGGTACCGAGCCGCCCAAAGCCAATAACTTGGTACACCTTTTGCTACAGGTAATGCATAGGATATGATTTGTCATTTGCATACCCATTAAGACTATGATTCAGATATGTAGTTATTTCCTATACTACCATACAATACTGTATTAGTTATTGAGACCATCTTTTTGCTTTATCCACCTACATTTTTTCATGTGTGTCTCTGGCAGCACAACCTTCCATTGCAACTATTTGATCTAATTTAGCTTTTAACTTCCAGGGCCTAACCAGCAAGGATCAACGAATCCTCCATAGTGTTTTTGATCATGGTGACGAGCAGACCATCAGCAACACAGTCCGAAGACTTCCTGCGACTGCTGTTGTGCCTCTATTAAAGCATTTACAGATACTTATTATGGGCAAGGGACACAAGTTAGTATTTAGACATTTTTTCACATGTGTTGATTGGTTAGTACAGTTGAACGTCTATACACCGTAATTCGCTTTTTTCGAACTCCGGGATGCTTCGGACCACCCCTCTGTTCACCAGAATAATATTTTAAAGGTATGGAAAATATAGCATCAGTCAGGACAGTTAGTGTGTTCGTAGGTGCAGTTGAACGTGTGTGCATGGGTGTCATGTGGCACGTGTTTCAGTCTGATTCCTGTCTTCATATGTATGGTATCAGTGTGTCGCACCTTGCTACCTGCACTCATTTATGTGAACTTTTTCTGGCGTACTTAGTAACTTTAACAGGGATACTTGAGGGTTTTAAGAATTGGGTACAATTATGTAGAATACAGTATGTATTTTAAGGAATGGGTAAGATTAAAAACTAATGAAAAGAACAACACTTGCTCACTGAATTCTGTACAGTGGTCTTATCAGTTTTGCTGTAGGCCTAACAAGAGCTAAGATACTGTGTGTGTAAACAGGTGGGGGGGGGGGGCTTCATCGGGCGTTGGCTCATTCATCAGGTTTATTTATTAATTCATTATTATATTCTTGTATGTTGAGCCTCTAGGGGTGTAGGATTCATCATGATTAATTAATATAACATTCAATTATAGAAAAAGAATACAATATGTAATTAGTAATTTGACTTGAAAATAAAAGAGTAAGCTGTGTAGGATCACCAGTCATAAACATGAATGGACATCATTGTTTTCTACAGGGGTACACTCCAGGTACCTTCAGCCATTCATAGTTAATTTGGTTTATCATTTTAGGTGAATCTGATGTTTAATAGTCTTATTTTCATTCCACAAATTCCATTACAAGCTAATAAAATTTGTGGGTTAAATCTTGATAAAATATATGTATTTTTATGAAGTAATGCCTTCAGCTTGTTGACTCAAGTGATGTACCAACCATGGATTTTGGAGTTAGGAAACAGGAACCTTAACATAAGTGTAGCATAGACTAACCTTGCCATTAGTCTGTCCATGTCCCATTGTGAGCAGGGCCTTAAAAGATGTCACTTATATATGTACTGATCAAAGATTTTTTCTTCTATCAGAAATTTTGCCACTGTGAGATGGGTGAGGTCAGTGTTATACTACCACATGAGTCACCTGTCAACCCTTCCTGACCGAGAGGAGTTGATGCAGCCATTCTACTCGGCCTGTGTTTCAAGAATGTCCACTCTCCAGCAGGTGACTCAACTGCATGCACGACTGGATCTCATGCTGACGCACGTGGCAACTAGGCACCAAGAGAGCAAGCAGACTGCTGTAGAACCAGAAGCTATCCTTATATACAGAGAAGGTATGTATGTGTGTGTCTTGATAATTTTTTAGGTTACTGGATTGTCCTCATATGCAAAGAACATAGGGGTCTGTCTCATGGTTGCTGATTTTCTTTCCTTTATACACTTATTGATAACTTATATAAAAAAAAAGTAACTGTACTATGGGGAAAATATAGAAATTAGCTTACTTGGGAAAAAGTGGCATCATCTGACATGAGGAGAGAGTTTGAGAAAGATGAACAGGCCCTGCCATCTATCAGCATGTGGGCAATTGAATGGTCGCTTAGTCACTAACTTTTGAGTCTCCTTTGTTTTGAATCACTAAGTAATGGAGGGATACAGGTACTTATATTTGGAAGGAAGGACTTTTAACCTCGTTGTAGTGAAAGGAAGTCAGACAGTTATTGATATCGCAGTAGCAACTATGTATGCTTTCCTGTCTTTGGGTTGGCTCTATACCCATTCATCCCTGGCAGACTTTCACAATAGCCCATGAGAGGAAGACACTTTTGAGGAGTGAAAGATCAAATTGCAGAAGTGATATTGTAGCCAAAAGTGAAGTTAAACCCCACTTGTATGGGAAAATGATAGCATTTTATACTTCCCAACTCTACACATTCCATCAGAGTAGTTTTTGAGTTTAGAATGGCTCAAGAATGGACCCAAGGACCAGGCACCTCTTTGCTGGATAGAAATGATGGCCATACCCCTCAGGAAATCCATAGGACACATACAGCCCCAAAGATCATGACCTCTGTGTGTACCTTTTGGCTGAACTCATGTGATGGCTTTGATGACAAACTTTGAAGCTCCACATTTAATAAAGTATTATGGTTTTTAGAATTTTTGTTCACAAAACTTTTCGATACTTCTGAGATAGGAATGGACGGCCCTCGCAAAATATACATAATGTATAAACCATCTTCCAACATTCAGGATGAGATGTGAATACATTCCAACCTCATCCAGTATACATAAGGACCAAAATAAATGGAAGCATATCCTGATCTCCACCCTCTACTGTGTGTGAGGGAAAAAAACCTTGATTTCCAGATAAACTTTTTGGGGGCTACAGTCATATAAAGGATATTTGTAGATCCCTTTACATTATTTTTGGCAAGACACCTACTATCATGTGTGGTTAAAAGGTGGTCACTCATGTTTTTATATACGGGAGGACTGTAATGATTACTCACTGCCCAATCCGTAATCATCGGTGGAGCAACCCATGGCATCAGCTGGTGGATGTGGCAACAGCTATCCCCGACAGGATGAGAAAGACATATATATATATATATATACCCTGGATTATTGTTAACCAGCATAATTTGTACAAGCTGTAGGGAATGCAGTCGGGCAAGGCATTGGTTGCTTTTCATATTTCCGGCCTTAATTTTCAGAATCGTCAGATGAAGATGATATGTTGGAAGCCACTCTGGGAGTCTCTGAGTCTGAGGACAACTGGGACGAATTGTCAGATATTGGGGAGATAAATGGTCACACAGATGAGGACTCAGATATGGAGGTGGATCAACAAATTAGTTCAGTTAAAAGAAGAATGGAAGAAGAGGATGAGGAAGAACAGACAGAAGAAGAGAATGATGAGGAAAATAGTGATTGTGACCTGGTAATTTGTGATGATGAGGGTGATAGTGAATGAGTTTGTGGAAGAGGGTAAAGTTAATGTGAAGTGTCAAGAAGATGCAGCAGGCTATGTTGTGGTGAGACTGTACAAAGATGTTCACATACATTTTTATCATTGCTTTGAGTTAAGCATTGTGCATTGCTACTGTTTTAAAAAAAGTCATACAAATTTAATACCAATGTCAGGTTTTCTTATCCTTTGTTACTGGTGTCCAAAATCAGGTAGTCGGGACTTGACATTTTAACCAAAACATTCTACATTATGTTGAAAATGTACGTATGTGCAAAAATAAAAAGCATTAATAAACAAAATTTGCAAATAAAGTTAACTATCTGATTTTGAATAATCATACCTTAATGGAATTTAATAATGTAGAATATCTCCAAGGGTATGTCATAAAATTTAATCCCTTCAGAAGATAAAATACTGAGGTCACTGGATTATTGACCAGATAATTTTTGGGGGGCAGGAAAAGTAGTGAGAGTTGTTGTATTTCAATTGTATTTTCTCCAAACCTTATTTAAGAGCTTTTCTTTTTATGTATTACAATTGAATAACAAATATTGAAATTTCAGAATATTATATAATGTATATTTTATGCCAATTTTAGCAATGTTTGTATATTTACAAATGAAAATATGGTTTTGAAGCAACAGTATTTGTTAAGCCTTGTTAGGATGATTAGGCATGGCTGACGTAATGTTTATCAGCATAAGAAAGTGTTACAGGGCAATCTGTGAAAATGTTCCATTTCATGTTGTGTTTAGGTTAGGTTAGATTGTTCAACTAGCTAAGGTTTTTATAATCTCATTGAACTTCACACTGAACATAACCTGAAATGGAACATTTTCACAGGATTTTTTAAATATTGCCTAATTTGACAGATAACACATACTAGCAGTTAACATTTATTAAGCCACTAGAGGGAGAATTTGTTTCTCTGTTTCTCTCCTCATGGGGTCAAGTCATCGTCCTCATGGGGTTAAGTCATCGTCCTCATGGGGTTAAGTCATCGTCCTCATGGGGTTAAGTCATCGTCCTCATGGGGTTAAGTCATCGTCCTCATGGGGTCAAGTCATCGTCCTCATGGGGTTAAGTCATCGTCCTCATGGGGTCAAGTCATCGTCCTCATGGGGTTAAGTCATCGTCCTCATGGGGTTAAGTCATTGTCCTCATGGGGTTAAGTCATCGTCCTCATGGGGTTAAGTCATTGTCCTCATGGGGTCAAGTCATCGTCCTCATGGGGTTAAGTCATCATCCTCATGAGGTTAAGTCATCGTTCTCATGGGGTTAAGTCATCATCCTCATGGGGTTAAGTCATCTCTTCATGGGGTTAAGTCATCATTCTCATGGGGTTAAGCACTTATGGCACTGTCTACACTAAGATGCTTTTTGACACTTATTAAACTTTATGGTACTTTGTCTATTTCCAACACTTCAAAACCATAAGTGACACTTTACGACACCTTGACAATTCTGGCGATGATGACTCCTTAACACATTGTGACACTTGATGACATTTATTGAAAGTTCACATATTTTTATGGCAGTTATTGACATCTATTGACACCTCATGGCCACAACAACACTTATGACACTGTACCTATGATTGACACCTTACCCTTTATGAGACTGTGACAATTTTACCTGTACACCCTTGTACGGTACACTTTGGAACCATATTTGACACTCAATGCTGTACGACACTTAGTAGCACCACACTACATTATACACCACACTGCTCCACTATACACCAGTCTACATCTTTTTATAACACTAAGATGCAATTTCTTGGTATGGTCCTGACAGGCAGATGGTGAATGTTTACTCTTCCTTATGTTGATACGTTGAGGGCGGCAACACCACTGGCTGGGGAAGGCATGGGGAGGTGTGAATAAAGCAGGTTTCTTGAAGGAGTTTTAAGAGTTCGACCACACTCAAATATCTGTTTGAACTTGACTCTTATTTAGTCCATATGACTTTGCTTCTCTTGCCCACATCATCCACCCTAAACCTTCCTAACCTGACCTGACCTACTTAACCTGATGTCACAGCAGTTGGTGATGAAATCCTAGTAGTTGGTGATGTCACACTACTTGATGACATCACAGCAGTTGGTGATGATGTGACATCAGGTGGTGATGACGTCACAGCATTTAATGATGACATCATAGCAGTTGGTGATGACTTCACGGCATGTTTACAACACAGTACAAAACTACAACCTTAATACATGTCAACTACACTAGTACAACATAATAACTACAACACTAGTACTACATGTTCACTATAACACTAGTACAACATAATAACTACAACACTAGTACTACATGTTCACTATAACACTAGTACTACATGTTCACTATAACACTAGTACTACATGGTCACTATAACACTAGTACAACATAATAACTACAACACTAGTACTACATGTTCACTATAACACTAGTACAACATAATAACTACAACACTAGTACTACATGTTCACTATAACACTAGTACTACATGTTCACTATAACACTAGTACTACATGGTCACTATAACACTAGTACAACATAATAACTACAACACTAGTACTACATGTTCACTATAACACTAGTACTACATGGTCACTATAACACTAGTACTACATGGTCACTATAACACTAGTACAACATAATAACTACAACACTAGTACTACATGTTCACTATAACACTAGTACAACTACTAACACTAGTACTACATGTCACTATAACACTAGTACAACATAATAACTACAACACTAGTACTACATGGTCACTATAACACTAGTACAACATAATAACTACAACACTAGTACTACATGTTCACTATAACACTAGTACTACATGTTCACTATAAAACTAGTACAACATAATAACTACAAACTAACTACAACACTAGTACTACATGTTCACTATAACACTAGTACTACATGGTCACTATAACACTAGTACAACATATTAACTACAACACTAGTACGACATGTTCACTATAACACTAGTACTACATGGTCACTATAACACTAGTACAACATAATAACTACAACACTAGTACAACATAATAACTACAACACTAGTACGACATGTTCACTATAACACTAGTACGACATGTTCACTATAACACTAGTACATGTTCACTATAACACTAGTACTACATGTTCACTATAAAACTAGTACAACATAATAACTACAACACTAGTTCAACATATTAACTACAACACTAGTACGACATGTTCACTATAACACTAGTACTACATGGTCACTATAACACTAGTACAACATAATAACTACAACACTAGTACTACATGGTCACTATAACACTAGTACTACATAATAACTACAACACTAGTACTACATGTTCACTATAACACTAGTACTACATGGTCACTATAACACTAGTACAACATAATAACTACAACACTAGTACAACATGTTCACTATAACACTAGTACTATATGGTCACTATAACACTAGTACAACATAATAACTACAACACTAGTACTACATGTTCACTATAACACTAGTACTACATGTTCACTATAACACTAGTACAACATAATAACTACAACACTAGTACGACATGTTCACTATAACACTAGTACTACATGTTCACTATAACACTAGTACAACATAATAACTACAACACTAGTACGTACTACATGTTCACTATAACACTAGTACTACATGTTCACTATAACACTAGTACAACATAATAACTACAACACTAGTACTACATGTTCACTATAACACTAGTACTACATGGTCACTATAACACTAGTACAACATAATAACTACAACACTAGTACAACATAACTACAACACTAGTACTACATAACTACAACACTAGTACAACATGTTCACCACAACACTAGTACAACATGTTCACCACAACACTAGTACAACATGTTCACCACAACACTAGTACTACATAACTACAACACTAGTACAACATGTTCACCACAACACTAGTACAACATAACTACAACACTAGTACAACATGACTACAACACTAGTACAACATGACTACAACACTTGTACAACATGACTACAACACTAGTACAACATGACTACAACACTTGTACAACATGACTACAACACTAGTACATGTTCACCACAACACTAGTACTACATAACTACAACACTACAACATGTTCACCACAACACTAGTACAACATAACTACAACACTAGTACAACATGACTACAACACTAGTACAACATGACTACAACACTTGTACAACATGACTAGTACAACACTAGTACAACAATACTAGTACAACATAACTATAACACTAGTACAACATGACTACAAAACTAGTACAACATAACTATAGTACAACATAACTACAACACTAGTACAACATAACTACAACACCAGTACAACATAACTACAACACTAGTACAACACTAGTACAACATAACTACAGCACCAGTACAACATAATAACTACAACACTAGTACTACATAACTAGTACAACATAACTATAACACTCGTACAACATGACCACAACACTAGTACTTCATAACTACAGCACTAGTACAACATAACTACAACACCAGTACTACAACTACAACACTAGTACAACATAATAACTACAACACGAGTACTACTTGTTCACTACAACATTAGTACAACATAACTACAGCACTAGTTAAATGTTGAGTTCCAATCTTTTTATAATCTACACGCTGGAGTCCTCAAAAAAACGTGCTGTACATGAACATCAAATGAATATTATCAAGTTGATAAAACAAAATGAGTAAAATGGAAAACTTCGAAAGAAAGCGTAAAATCGTAGACACTATTAAGTCTATCGAATCGAAAAGATAAAAAATTGAAGAATATAAAAAAAACACGGCAAGAAAATGTCGTGAGCTTGAGAAAAACATGGAAGTTTCCCACCACCAGCTGCGTCCTGTGTGGCGGGAATATTCCGAGTTCAGCTCGTTAAATGCTTTCTTGGAAAATAAAGAAGACCGCGAACAATTTCTAGAGGTACTCGGTGTAAGCGAGAAGTAAAATTCATCTGGAAACCCAATGAATACGGTAAAAGATGGGCACGGTAATTGTGAAAATAAAGAAAAAGCTGATAGCAAATACGACTATCAGAGCCCACCCAATAATTTCAATGGGGACGAGCCAGGAACTGAGATCGTGTAAGTGGTTGTTGGTGAATGGGCTAACAGAAAACCACCGTCAGCTGTCCTTCCTCCCGAAGAACTTGCTGAAGATAAACCCAAAGATAATATCCCACAAAATTTACCTTACGCTAAATGTGTTTCCGAATTACCTGTAGAATACGTAGATTGTGTACAGATCGGCACACTAACCGACCGGGAAACCGTAAGAGATTCAGTCTTGGAGATTACCAGGGAGGGGCTGGCGGGTCAACGGGGATCAGTCACTGACCCCCGACTGGGCCCCAGCATGGGTCAAAATATAACGTGTGTCACCTGTTTGAATAAAGAATGTCGGGGACACACTAGCTTTATTGACCTGGGGGACTACTTCCTCGTACCGGGACAAGAACATTTTTGCATAAATACTATGCAAAAACTTTGTTTCTTTTGTTTTAGACCGGTCAAACCCTGCAAGAAAAACGCAGCCCATTATTTAAATAACTTAAAACGGGAAGTAAAGTGCGTGAGAAAAACTAAAATGGCGAACTTACCTAAGAAAAAAAAGTTGAGGACTGACTTTTGTTTATGTCCACAGCCAGAGTACAACATCCAGACAGTTAGTGGAGTTCAACTGATAGAGGTTTCTTATTAAGATAAAGACTCTAAACCTTAAATCCTTACTCCGTCAGTCCTAAAACTGTTCTTTTCAACTGTGAAACAAAAGACGTGGAATCGCCTCAAGATTGATGATCCCCAAGAATAGATTTTTGTGCGGTACCTCAAAGTTTGTGAACAGTCGCAGAGACTTGTGAAGAAATGCGATAATAACACGAGTCAAAACGTGTTAACTACAAAATATAACGAAATCGTTAAAGCCAAACTAGAATTAGAAAAAATTAACAAGCAAATAAAATTTAGAGAAAATAAAATTACACCCGAACAATATAAATATAATTCTCCGCTTATAAGAGCGTTGTAACACGAGGTGGTGCTACCTTATCAGGTGAACGCTCTTAAGAAAGCTGTTAAAGATCTCTGTCTTGAGAAAGAGAAAAGGAAAAAGGAGAAGTAAATCGCTGTTGAAGAAAAAAAGAAAGACGAGGACCCAGGATTGCCTTGTGAAGAGGAGGTAATACAACCCGAGAACAAAAACGGGAGTGGCGACGAAGCCTCTCCAGACATGCACCGCTCTCACAGGTCAGACGGTGAGGAGGAAGTGGCTGAGCCCAAGGAGAAGAAAGAAGTCAATGAAGCAGGCATAATAGATTTGGACAAATTTGAAGAAAATCAGAACAAAAATCCGAAAGAGAGTGTACCAGAATAGGCTCAGGATAATGACAAGGAACAAGAGGAGAAAGAGCCGGAACTAACTGCTGAGGAGCTCCTCGCCTTCGAGAAGGCCGCCGAATGCAACGAGACTTGGGCGTCTGTGTGGTACCCCCAGAAAAATCAAATTGTTCTAAAAATTTCTAAGCTCCTAACGGAAATTGCCGAGACAATGGTCGTCCGAATCAAATCAAAGGAAGGGCTAATCCGTTAAAATTTACTTGGAAAACGTGTGAATTAATGTGGGCGAGCAGTGTTTACTAGCGGAGATAACACTATGCCCCTGGGCGTTGTGGGCATGCCTAGGGAAATCGCCCAAGAACTCTTCGTCTCAGAAACAGTTACAGAAAGGAATTTCGAATTCCTGTAACAGTTAACGGGTAACTACCCATTGCATCCTTGTGTAATTAGTCTCACAAGGAATTAACTTCGAATTTCACTGAGTACAGTCCGGAATCCCCTAACATTTTCCCTAAAATTAGGTGATACCGTCAAGCGACAGGTAATGGATGGTGATTATGTCGCGGTAAATCGTCAGCCAACCCTCGCAAAATCTAACATCATTTAACACAAAGTTAAGATAACCGACACCCGGTCCCTCAGCCTTAGCATCCTAATGACGGATAACTATGCTGCCGATTGTGACGGTGACGAAATGAACATTTTCGCACCAAATACCGAAAATTCTTCCGGTTATCTAATGTCGGCAGAAGAAAATTTATATTTTAGCAAAAATGGGAAGTGTGCAATGAAGCTAAAGTAGGACGTTCTTAGGGGCGCCTACACCCTCTGCCTAAAGGACAAATTCTTCAATGAAGAATAAGTACGAAGAATCTTGCCACCCGGGTATAGGGTGCCCATGCCAGCAATATTAAAACCCCAGCACTTATGGACAGGAAAATAGCTGTTATCGTTTGGCCTTCCTTAAAACTTTGTGATTGACCCCAAACTCAAGGCTGTACAGCTAGATTAGCTCATTATCCGCCATGGTACCATACTCTCTGGAGACTTTAACAACAGTAGTCAGGACCAAATACTTTACTGTTGTAAGATGATCTGCCCCAATTCACAAATTCTGAAAATTTTGGAAAATCTTCAAAAAATCGCCGAACAATATGTCTCATAAATCGGCGGACCAGGAAATACCTTCAAATATGAAGATTGGTTATGCAATCCTGAGCTTTAGGCGAAACTCGAAAATGAAATGCATTGCTTAGTTGACAAAGCAAGTGCAATTGAAGACCCACAGGAAAGGAATAAGTAACTGCGACAAGTGTTAGCAGACATGGCGCCCATCCTCGTAAATGAGCTCCCCCGTGATAGTAATGTTGCGGCCATGTTCAAAGCTGGTTCCAAGAAAAGGCCCGAGAAATTAGTTCAAACTTGTATAGGGGTTGGGCAGCAAAATATTGAAGGTAAATATCCCCCCAAACACCTAGATGGGGAGCGGCTCCTCCCCAAGTTCCAGAAAGAAGACAAAAGTGCCCAAGCAGAGGGGTTTGTCTTTTCCTCCTTCACCAACAAAGCCACCCCATCCGAGACTGTCATCATGGCGATGGTGGCTCGCGACGCCTTGTTCAGAAAGCATTGTGCTACAGAGGAAAGCGGTTACATATAGAGAAAACTTACCAAAAATATGGAGGACGTCACCGTAAGGCACGATGGCACAGTAAGGGACGCCACCAACCAAATCATTCAAATGTCATACGGGGTGGACGGGTTTGCGCCAGAGAAGTGCCTGCCTGTGACTGTGATGGCCACACCCTTCACCGAACAGGAAGAAGAATTACACAAGGAGTTTGCCGCATCATTTGGCGAATAATAAGATATCCTGTCAGAATTTAAAAAACTAAAGCAGGAAAGAAAGGAGATGGCTCACAAATTTAAATAAGAAAATGTAACGATAAACTTCCCTATAAATATGGATTACGTCATGTCATATGTCCATTAAAATGTGCCCGCCTCAGGACCACTAATAACGCCTGCTAAAATTATCAGTATCGTCAGCAAAGTTTTTAAAAAATTTGACGATTTTATCGAAAAACCGCAGGAAGTAAAACGTCCAGAGGATATGATTACCAATCTCAGAGAACGCAAGCGTAAGGCACAAAAGGCCATAGCCAAAAATAGATATGTACCATATTCACCTCCAAGAACTCACTCCAAAATGCCCCTCATAAATTATAACCGGGAATTGTAAGCTACAGGAGATGAGTTAGAAAATGATGTCTCCGCACTGCGGGTGAGAGGAGACACCCTTGCTGTGTTTAAATGTTATCTGCGGTAGTGGATTAACTCTTTCTGCGTCACTAAATACTATAAATTGACAGAAAGACAATTTGAGGTCGTAATGAACATAGTTGAAGATAAATTTTATGACGGCCGGGTTACTGTGGGCCAAAGTGTTGGAGCCCTCGCCGCTCAGGCCCTGGCCGAGCCACTTATGCAAATGACACTAAATGCGGCCCACAGAGCTTCCGTGGCTTCCGATTATGACACTATCCCACGACTCAAAGAACTATTAAATGGCACAGCAAAGGATCTTAATTTCGAATATAGTCTCAGGGGACTTCCATACACCCGCAGATATATCATCCAAGAAATAAGCAGCATTTACGAAAATGCCGGTGAAACGATAGATCGCCGCCATATCCAATTAGTAGCCGACTACATGCTCAAAGATGGTCACCTCAAGGGCTTTAACCGTAACCAATTAAATAACAGCCAAAGTTTTCTCAAGTCAGCAGCGTTTGAACAACCGCTTAAGGTGCTGGAAGTGGCCAGATCCCAAAACAAAATTGATAGACTGCGGGGTGTGAGCGAAAACATTATCTTAAATAAACCAGCCTGTGTGGGGCCCGGCGTGTTTGATTCCGTCGATGTGCATTTGGAAACCCACAACCCCTCTCACCAACTCGTCAAGAGGCCTAACAAGAGATTAAACGAAGACCTTCCACGGCCTGAAAGTAAAAAAATATGCATATTAGACTCCCATGAAGCGAAGCCAGTGGCGCAGGGTGTTAAACGGCGTCCGGAGAGTCCAGAAAAATAAAGTGAAGTTCGTGAAAAGAAGATAAAAATAAGCCCGGAAAACTGAAATCCATAAGAAACCGAGTGAACTTTAGCGAAAAAATTCGAGGTGTTAGGAGTTTCGTATTGTTTATATAATTATTATTTTTGTATGTTATTATTTTATTATTATTATTATTATTGTTATTATTGTTACTATTATTATTATTATTATTATTATTATTATTATTATTATTATTATTATTGTACATACACCAATCTTAGGTTTTATCCTTCGGGAGGCAGATACCAACACTTGCTTGAACATGTTATTTCATCGCCACAGTTTCTGAGCAGTCTATCTCCATACACAGTATTCACAGACTATGTGGACCAAGGATTACCATTGGATGAGTTGTATACACTACTTGATGACATCACAGCAGTTGGTGATGATGTGACATCAGGTGGTGATGACGTCACAGCATTTAATGATGACATCATAGCAGTTGGTGATGACTTCACGGCATGTTTACAACACAGTACAAAACTACAACCTTAATACATGTCAACTACACTAGTACAACATAATAACTACAACACTAGTACTACATGTTCACTATAACACTAGTACAACATAATAACTACAACACTAGTACTACATGTTCACTATAACACTAGTACTACATGGTCACTATAACACTAGTACTACATGGTCACTATAACACTAGTACAACATAATAACTACAACACTAGTACTACATGTTCACTATAACACTAGTACAACATAATAACTACAACACTAGTACTACATGTTCACTATAACACTAGTACTACATGTTCACTATAACACTAGTACTACATGTTCACTATAACACTAGTACTACATGTTCACTACAACACTAGTACTACATGTTCACTATAACACTAGTACATGTTCAATATAACACTAGTACTACATGGTAACTATAACACTAGTACATGTTCACTATAACACTAGTACTACATGGTCACTATAAAACTAGTACAACATATTAACTACAACACTAGTACGACATGTTCACTATAACACTAGTACTACATGGTCACTATAACACTAGTACAACATAATAACTACAACACTAGTACAACATAATAACTACAACACTAGTACTACATATTCACTATAACACTAGTACATGTTCACTATAACACTAGTACTACATGGTCACTATAACACTAGTACATGTTCACTATAACACTAGTACTACATGGTCACTATAAAACTAGTACAACATAATAACTACAACACTAGTTCAACATATTAACTACAACACTAGTACGATAATGTTCACTATAACACTAGTACTACATGGTCACTATAACACTAGTACAACATAATAACTACAACACTAGTACTACATGGTCACTATAACACTAGTACAACATAATAACTACAACACTAGTACTACATGGTCACACTATAACACATATTGTACAACACTAGTACGACATGTTCACTATACACTACATGGTCACTATAACACTAGTACAACATAATAACTACACTAGTACTACATGGTCAATATAACACTAGTACAACATATTAACTACAACACTAGTACGACATGTTACAACACTAGTACTACATGGTCACTATAACACTAGTACAACATAATAACTACAACACTAGTACAACATAATAACTACAACATTTAACTATACACACTGTAACATAGTACTATAACACTAGTACTACATGTTCACTATAAAACTAGTACAACATAATAACTACAACACTAGTTCAACATATTAACTACAACACTAGTACGACATGTTCACTATAACACTAGTACTACATGGTCACTATAACACTAGTACAACATAATAACTACAACACTAGTACTACATGGTCACTATAACACTAGTACAACATATTAACTACAACACAACATATTAACTACAACACTAGTACGACATGTTCACTATAACACTAGTACTACATGGTCACTATAACACTAGTACAACATAATAACTACAACACTAGTACGACATGTTCACTATAACACTAGTACTAGTACATGTTCACTATCACTGTAACACTAGTACAACTATAATTAACTACAACACTAGTACGACATGTTCTATAACACTAGTACTACATGGTCACTATAACACTATAACACTAGTACTACATGGTCACTATAACACTAGTACAACATAATAACTACACACTAGTACTACATGTTCACTATAACACTAGTACTACATGGTCACTATAACTCTAGTACAACATAATAACTACAACACTAGTACAATATGTTCACTATAACACTAGTACTACATGTCACTATAACACTAGTACAACATAATAACTACAACACTAATACTACATGTTCACTATAACACTAGTACTACATGTTCACTATAACACTAGTACAACATAATAACTACAACACTAGTACGACATGTTCACTATAACACTAGTACTACATGTTCACTACAACACTAGTACAACATAATAACTACAACACTAGTACTACATGTTCACTATAACACTAGTACTACATGGTCACTATAACACTAGTACAACATAATAACTACAACACTAGTACTACATATTCACCACAACACTAGTACAACATGTTCACCACAACACTAGTACTACATAACTACAACACTATTACAACATGTTCACCACAACACTAGTACAACATAACTACAACACTAGTACAACATGACTTCAACACTAGTACAACATGACTACAACACTTGTACAACATGACTACAACACTAGTACAACATGACTACAACACTTGTACAACATGACTACAACACTAGTACAACATGTTCACCACAACACTAGTACTACATAACTACAACACTAGTACAACATGTTCACCACAACACTAGTACAACATAACTACAACACTAGTACAACATGACTACAACACTAGTACAACATGACTACAACACTTGTACAACATGACTACAACACTAGTACAACATAACTACAACACCAGTACAACATAATAACTACAATACTAGTACAACATAACTATAACACTAGTACAACATGACTACAAAACTAGTACAACATAACTATAACACCAGTACAACATAACTACAACACCAATACAACATAACTACAACACTAGTACAACATAACTACAACACCAGTACAACATAACTACAACACTAGTACAACACTAGTACAACATAACTACAGCACCAGTACAACATAATAACTACAACACTAGTACTACATAACTACAACACGAGTACAACATAACTATAACACTCGTACAACATGACCACAACACTAGTACTTCATAACTACAGCACTAGTACAACATAACTACAACACCAGTACTACAACTACAACACTAGTACAACATAATAACTACAACACGAGTACTACTTGTTCACTACAACATTAGTACAACATAACTACAGCACTAGTTAAATGTTGAGTTCCAATCTTTTTATAATCTACATGCTGGAGTCCTCAAAAAAATCGTGCTGTACATGAACATCAAATGAATATTATCAAGTTGATAAAACAAAATGAGTAAAATGGAAAACTTCGAAAGAAAGCGTAAAATCGTAGACACTATTAAGTCTATCGAATCGAAAAGATAAAAAATTGAAGAATATAAAAAAAACACGGCAAGAAAATGTCGTGAGCTTGAGAAAAACATGGAAGTTTCCCACCACCAGCTGCGTCCTGTGTGGCGGGAATATTCCGAGTTCAGCTCGTTAAATGCTTTCTTGGAAAATAAAGAAGACCGCGAACAATTTCTAGAGGTACTCGGTGTAAGCGAGAAGTAAAATTCATCTGGAAACCCAATGAATACGGTAAAAGATGGGCACGGTAATTGTGAAAATAAAGAAAAAGCTGATAGGAAATACGACTATCAGAGCCCACCCAATAATTTCAATGGGGACGATCCAGGAACTGAGATCGTGTAAGTGGTTGTTGGTGAATGGGCTAACAGAAAACCACCGTCAGCTGTCCTTCCTCCCGAAGAACTTGCTGAAGATAAACCCAAAGATAATATCCCAGAAAATTTACCTTACGCTAAATGTGTTTCCGAATTACCTGTAGAATACGTAGATTGTGTACAGATCGGCACACTAACCGACCGGGAAACCGTAAGAGATTCAGTCTTGGAGATTACCAGGGAGGGGCTGGCGGGTCAACGGGGATCAGTCACTGACCCCCGACTGGGCCCCAGCATGGGTCAAAATATAACGTGTGTCACCTGTTTGAATAAAGAATGTCGGGGACACACTAGCTTTATTGACCTGGGGGACTACTTCCTCGTACCGGGACAAGAACATTTTTGCATAAATACTATGCAAAAACTTTGTTTCTTTTGTTTTAGACCGGTCAAACCCTGCAAGAAAAACGCAGCCCATTATTTAAATAACTTAAAACGGGAAGTAAAGTGCGTGAGAAAAACTAAAATGGCGAACTTACCTAAGAAAAAAAAGTTGAGGACTGACTTTTGTTTATGTCCACAGCCAGAGTACAACATCCAGACAGTTAGTGGAGTTCAACTGATAGAGGTTTCTTATTAAGATAAAGACTCTAAACCTTAAATCCTTACTCCGTCAGTCCTAAAACTGTTCTTTTCAACTGTGAAACAAAAGACGTGGAATCGCCTCAAGATTGATGATCCCCAAGAATAGATTTTTGTGCGGTACCTCAAAGTTTGTGAACAGTCGCAGAGACTTGTGAAGAAATGCGATAATAACACGAGTCAAAACGTGTTAACTACAAAATATAACGAAATCGTTAAAGCCAAACTAGAATTAGAAAAAATTAACAAGCAAATAAAATTTAGAGAAAATAAAATTACACCCGAACAATATAAATATAATTCTCCGCTTATAAGAGCGTTGTAACACGAGGTGGTGCTACCTTATCAGGTGAACGCTCTTAAGAAAGCTGTTAAAGATCTCTGTCTTGAGAAAGAGAAAAGGAAAAAGGAGAAGTAAATCGCTGTTGAAGAAAAAAAGAAAGACGAGGACCCAGGATTGCCTTGTGAAGAGGAGGTAATACAACCCGAGAACAAAAACGGGAGTGGCGACGAAGCCTCTCCAGACATGCACCGCTCTCACAGGTCAGACGGTGAGGAGGAAGTGGCTGAGCCCAAGGAGAAGAAAGAAGTCAATGAAGCAGGCATAATAGATTTGGACAAATTTGAAGAAAATCAGAACAAAAATCCGAAAGAGAGTGTACCAGAATAGGCTCAGGATAATGACAAGGAACAAGAGGAGAAAGAGCCGGAACTAACTGCTGAGGAGCTCCTCGCCTTCGAGAAGGCCGCCGAATGCAACGAGACTTGGGCGTCTGTGTGGTACCCCCAGAAAAATCAAATTGTTCTAAAAATTTCTAAGCTCCTAACGGAAATTGCCGAGACAATGGTCGTCCGAATCAAATCAAAGGAAGGGCTAATCCGTTAAAATTTACTTGGAAAACGTGTGAATTAATGTGGGCGAGCAGTGTTTACTAGCGGAGATAACACTATGCCCCTGGGCGTTGTGGGCATGCCTAGGGAAATCGCCCAAGAACTCTTCGTCTCAGAAACAGTTACAGAAAGGAATTTCGAATTCCTGTAACAGTTAACGGGTAACTACCCATTGCATCCTTGTGTAATTAGTCTCACAAGGAATTAACTTCGAATTTCACTGAGTACAGTCCGGAATCCCCTAACATTTTCCCTAAAATTAGGTGATACCGTCAAGCGACAGGTAATGGATGGTGATTATGTCGCGGTAAATCGTCAGCCAACCCTCGCAAAATCTAACATCATTTAACACAAAGTTAAGATAACCGACACCCGGTCCCTCAGCCTTAGCATCCTAATGACGGATAACTATGCTGCCGATTGTGACGGTGACGAAATGAACATTTTCGCACCAAATACCGAAAATTCTTCCGGTTATCTAATGTCGGCAGAAGAAAATTTATATTTTAGCAAAAATGGGAAGTGTGCAATGAAGCTAAAGTAGGACGTTCTTAGGGGCGCCTACACCCTCTGCCTAAAGGACAAATTCTTCAATGAAGAATAAGTACGAAGAATCTTGCCACCCGGGTATAGGGTGCCCATGCCAGCAATATTAAAACCCCAGCACTTATGGACAGGAAAATAGCTGTTATCGTTTGGCCTTCCTTAAAACTTTGTGATTGACCCCAAACTCAAGGCTGTACAGCTAGATTAGCTCATTATCCGCCATGGTACCATACTCTCTGGAGACTTTAACAACAGTAGTCAGGACCAAATACTTTACTGTTGTAAGATGATCTGCCCCAATTCACAAATTCTGAAAATTTTGGAAAATCTTCAAAAAATCGCCGAACAATATGTCTCATAAATCGGCGGACCAGGAAATACCTTCAAATATGAAGATTGGTTATGCAATCCTGAGCTTTAGGCGAAACTCGAAAATGAAATGCATTGCTTAGTTGACAAAGCAAGTGCAATTGAAGACCCACAGGAAAGGAATAAGTAACTGCGACAAGTGTTAGCAGACATGGCGCCCATCCTCGTAAATGAGCTCCCCCGTGATAGTAATGTTGCGGCCATGTTCAAAGCTGGTTCCAAGAAAAGGCCCGAGAAATTAGTTCAAACTTGTATAGGGGTTGGGCAGCAAAATATTGAAGGTAAATATCCCCCCAAACACCTAGATGGGGAGCGGCTCCTCCCCAAGTTCCAGAAAGAAGACAAAAGTGCCCAAGCAGAGGGGTTTGTCTTTTCCTCCTTCACCAACAAAGCCACCCCATCCGAGACTGTCATCATGGCGATGGTGGCTCGCGACGCCTTGTTCAGAAAGCATTGTGCTACAGAGGAAAGCGGTTACATATAGAGAAAACTTACCAAAAATATGGAGGACGTCACCGTAAGGCACGATGGCACAGTAAGGGACGCCACCAACCAAATCATTCAAATGTCATACGGGGTGGACGGGTTTGCGCCAGAGAAGTGCCTGCCTGTGACTGTGATGGCCACACCCTTCACCGAACAGGAAGAAGAATTACACAAGGAGTTTGCCGCATCATTTGGCGAATAATAAGATATCCTGTCAGAATTTAAAAAACTAAAGCAGGAAAGAAAGGAGATGGCTCACAAATTTAAATAAGAAAATGTAACGATAAACTTCCCTATAAATATGGATTACGTCATGTCATATGTCCATTAAAATGTGCCCGCCTCAGGACCACTAATAACGCCTGCTAAAATTATCAGTATCGTCAGCAAAGTTTTTAAAAAATTTGACGATTTTATCGAAAAACCGCAGGAAGTAAAACGTCCAGAGGATATGATTACCAATCTCAGAGAACGCAAGCGTAAGGCACAAAAGGCCATAGCCAAAAATAGATATGTACCATATTCACCTCCAAGAACTCACTCCAAAATGCCCCTCATAAATTATAACCGGGAATTGTAAGCTACAGGAGATGAGTTAGAAAATGATGTCTCCGCACTGCGGGTGAGAGGAGACACCCTTGCTGTGTTTAAATGTTATCTGCGGTAGTGGATTAACTCTTTCTGCGTCACTAAATACTATAAATTGACAGAAAGACAATTTGAGGTCGTAATGAACATAGTTGAAGATAAATTTTATGACGGCCGGGTTACTGTGGGCCAAAGTGTTGGAGCCCTCGCCGCTCAGGCCCTGGCCGAGCCACTTATGCAAATGACACTAAATGCGGCCCACAGAGCTTCCGTGGCTTCCGATTATGACACTATCCCACGACTCAAAGAACTATTAAATGGCACAGCAAAGGATCTTAATTTCGAATATAGTCTCAGGGGACTTCCATACACCCGCAGATATATCATCCAAGAAATAAGCAGCATTTACGAAAATGCCGGTGAAACGATAGATCGCCGCCATATCCAATTAGTAGCCGACTACATGCTCAAAGATGGTCACCTCAAGGGCTTTAACCGTAACCAATTAAATAACAGCCAAAGTTTTCTCAAGTCAGCAGCGTTTGAACAACCGCTTAAGGTGCTGGAAGTGGCCAGATCCAAAAACAAAATTGATAGACTGCGGGGTGTGAGCGAAAACATTATCTTAAATAAACCAGCCTGTGTGGGGCCCGGCGTGTTTGATTCCGTCGATGTGCGTTTGCAAACCCACAACCCCTCTCACCAACTCGTCAAGAGGCCTAACAAGAGATTAAACGAAGACCTTCCACGGCCTGAAAGTAAAAAAATATGCATATAAGACTCCCATGAAGCGAAGCCAGTGGCGCAGGGTGTTAAACGGCGTCCGGAGAGTCCAGAAAAATAAAGTGAAGTTCGTGAAAAGAAGATAAAAATAAGCCCGGAAAACTGAAATCCATAAGAAACCGAGTGAACTTTAGCGAAAAAATTCGAGGTGTTAGGAGTTTCGTATTGTTTATATTATTATTATTTTTGTATGTTATTATTTTATTATTATTATTATTATTGTTATTATTGTTACTATTATTATTATTATTATTATTATTATTATTATTATTATTATTGTACATACACCAATCTTAGGTTTTATCCTTCGGGAGGCAGATACCAACACTTGCTTGAACATGTTATTTCATCGCCACAGTTTCTGAGCAGTCTATCTCCATACACAGTATTCACAGACTATGTGGACCAAGGATTACCATTGGATGAGTTGTATACACTACTTGATGACATCACAGCAGTTGGTGATGATGTGACATCAGGTGGTGATGACGTCACAGCATTTAATGATGACATCATAGCAGTTGGTGATGACTTCACGGCATGTTTACAACACAGTACAAAACTACAACCTTAATACATGTCAACTACACTAGTACAACATAATAACTACAACACTAGTACTACATGTTCACTATAACACTAGTACAACATAATAACTACAACACTAGTACTACATGTTCACTATAACACTAGTACTACATGGTCACTATAACACTAGTACTACATGGTCACTATAACACTAGTACAACATAATAACTACAACACTAGTACTACATGTTCACTATAACACTAGTACAACATAATAACTACAACACTAGTACTACATGTTCACTATAACACTAGTACTACATGTTCACTATAACACTAGTACTACATGTTCACTATAACACTAGTACTACATGTTCACTACAACACTAGTACTACATGTTCACTATAACACTAGTACATGTTCAATATAACACTAGTACTACATGGTAACTATAACACTAGTACATGTTCACTATAACACTAGTACTACATGGTCACTATAAAACTAGTACAACATATTAACTACAACACTAGTACGACATGTTCACTATAACACTAGTACTACATGGTCACTATAACACTAGTACAACATAATAACTACAACACTAGTACAACATAATAACTACAACACTAGTACTACATATTCACTATAACACTAGTACATGTTCACTATAACACTAGTACTACATGGTCACTATAACACTAGTACATGTTCACTATAACACTAGTACTACATGGTCACTATAAAACTAGTACAACATAATAACTACAACACTAGTTCAACATATTAACTACAACACTAGTACGATAATGTTCACTATAACACTAGTACTACATGGTCACTATAACACTAGTACAACATAATAACTACAACACTAGTACTACATGGTCACTATAACACTAGTACAACATAATAACTACAACACTAGTACTACATGTTCACTATAACACTAGTACTACATGTTCACTATAAAACTAGTACAACATAATAACTACAACACTAGTTCAACATATTAACTACAACACTAGTACGACATGTTCACTATAACACTCACTACATGGTCACTATAACACTAGTACAACATAATAACTACAACACTAGTACTACATGGTCAATATAACACTAGTACAACATATTAACTACAACACTAGTACGACATGTTCACTATAACACTAGTACTACATGGTCACTATAACACTAGTACAACATAATAACTACAACACTAGTACAACATAATAACTACAACACTAGTACGACATGTTCACTATAACACTAGTACGACATGTTCACTATAACACTAGTACATGTTCACTATAACACTAGTACTACATGTTCACTATAAAACTAGTACAACATAATAACTACAACACTAGTTCAACATATTAACTACAACACTAGTACGACATGTTCACTATAACACTAGTACTACATGGTCACTATAACACTAGTACAACATAATAACTACAACACTAGTACTA